CGGAGTGCTCCCTGCTTGGCGGTCGCATCAGTGATCGGTGCGTCGGAGGACAAGGTGATGTGCCCCGCTCCACAGCAGCGAAACACATCAGGCGCAAATAAAAGACAGAAAACATTAAAGGAAATGAACTGACATGAACGATCGCATGTTAAATTAGTTTTTGAGGTGGCGACACCTGACTGTGGCCGTGCTCAGGAGGCAGATTACCGACCGCAAAAACAGCGGAGTGCTCGCTGCTTGCCGGCCGAATCAGTGATCGGTGCATCACCGGATGACAAGTTGATGCGCCCCGCTCCACAGCAAAACGCATCAGGCGCAAATAAAAGACAGAAAACATCAAAGGAAATGAACCGACATGAACGATCGCGTGTCAGTACCGACGCTCTGGCACAGCGCGTTGCCCCCCCGAGCGCAGGAGCTTGTCACCTGCTGACAGCAGGCTGCTGTCTTTTCCGAGGGCTGCATCTTGCCGGTCATTATCACGTGACAGCGACTAGTCGATGACAGGCGTAAAAAGTCACTATAGTGAAGTCGACTAGTGACTAGTTCATACAACCCCTACTGCTCCCCAGAGTGTTCTGCAGCATAATCAGCACGTTCTCTTTGAACTTGATATCAGACCCGGCCTTTAATTGAATACGGGCCTGTATTAGAGGATTTACGGTATATATATATACACATACATACATATATATATATATATATATATATACATACATACATACATACATATACATACATATATATATATATATATATATATATATATATGTAATATATATATATATATATATACATATACATATATATATATATATATATATATATAAATTTGTAAATTTCTAATGAAAGAAAAACACAATAAGGCAGAAACCTGATGTTTGGTGATTTATTTCTAAACATTGGAGGTTTTTTCCGCTTACTTGTGCTTCTTCTCTAAAATGCTGCCTCTGCTTTACCTTTAATACGTTTTGTCTTTCTGCTGGAGGCAACCGCTCGACCTCATCCAGGTGGATCTGAGTCTGGTAGAGCCAGGTGCTGATGTGAGCCAAGTTCTCATCAAAAATCTCCACTTCATTCTGGTGACTCTGCAAACACACACACACACACACACACACACACACACACACACACACACACACACACACACACACACACACACACACACGGGGCTCAGCGCTTTAATTTAGCAACTCCATTCCTTCTCTGCACAATCTACTCACTCAGGGAACAATAAATAAAAGTTGCTGTGCTCTTCATTAAGCCTTGTCGTTTCCACTCACCAGAACAGCGCTGAGCCAGTCCTCGGTCCAGGTGTGCACGCGGTCCCAGGATTCGTTGAGGTCACAGAGTTTGGCCTCCAGCTGAGCCTCGCTGCCTTCCACCAAAGTCTGCAGCCCCGCACTGACCTCCATCAGGTTGGACAGCTCTGCCTTACGATGCTCTGACTCCTTCAGGAGGCCCTGAAGGGGAAGAACTCCTCACTAATTATTTTTTTCTCTTTATTTTGGGTTTAAAGAACTCAAATATATTGCAAAATTTTACTTTATTCTAAATGGTCTTCCTCTGGCTTTTTGGAGGATTTTCCTAATCTTTTTTTTTTTTAGCTTTTTGATGATTTTGTTTACTCATTTGCTATAAATAAAACAGAAAAATACATTTACATTTCTAAATATGCACTCTGATCACAAATTCAGTCTTTTCCAGAAATCTATTCCAATGACCAAGAAGCAACAAACCGGTTCTCTGCTCCGTCTACTGACAGGAAGGAGAAGCGCTTTTCGGATCAGTCTAAGGATTTTAACTAAAAGATTATTTCTTGGGGGTAAACAAATAAAACAATTAGGAAAATTGGTGAATGTGAAGAAAATCAAAGCTTAAATTGTTCATTTTAATTCCATTAATCTTTCTAATAACATAAAACTAAGGCAATGCTCACATTAGCCCACGTAATCTCAGGATCTATGTCAGCTGGCATGTCTCCACTGCTGTTCTTCTGTTGAAGCTGGGTCTCGTTGGTGGTCAGCCAGTCCTGCAGGGCAGCGCTCTCTTTGTGGAACTTCTGAGACAGAGCCAGCGCTTTTTCCAGGTCCTGTTTGCCTTCTGTTACCTGTGCAGGCAAAAAGTCAGCCTTAAAATTACATCAAATGAACTGGATTTTATTTTCAGTGGAGCAAACGCTGGGTTTGCTTTTTACCTGAGCCCCCAGCTCATTATAGAGGAGTTTGAGAGCCGTGAGCTGCTCGTCCATGGCTTTGGGATTCTCCGTCTGCTGTTTCTGCACAATCTGACGGCCTGTTTTTATCACCGTCTCCACCTCAAGCTTCACCTCACTCAGCAGTTTGTACAGTTTCTACACAGAAAATAAAGCACAAAATATTAAAAGATAAGATGAATCGTTCTTTTTTGCAACAATCGGCAACAACCCCATCATGCTCTCACCATACAGCCACTCAGATGGGGCTGGATTTTTTCTGGTTCCACATCCTTCACATCCAGAACATGCAGCTCAGCTTTAGCACCTTCTAGGACCCTCTTACAGTCCAGCATGCGCTGCTCAAAGTTAGCAGGCTTCTGGAACAGCTGGTACTTAGTGGAAATCTCCCTCAGTTTCCTCTGCAAAGAGTAACAGGGGGTACACAGTTCTGTGATTTATTGTTATATTAGGCTTGAGAAAAGATGCATGAAGAGGAAGAAATTAAAAATTATGTCTTATAATAAAAATGAGAAATATCAGCTAGATGAAAAAAATATAATTACAGATCCTGACTTTCACCAGTAGGAGGCAGTGTTACCTGCAGCTGGTCCAGCATAGTCCCACCACGGGCTGCTTTTCCATCTGAGGTAGGAGGAGGTAAATTAACCACATTCCTTCTCTTCATCTCCTCCAGTGTCACCTCATGGGCTGCGATCTCTGCACCGATGGTCTAAAAATAATAAAAGCAACATGAGCAGATGTAGCTTTGATCAGACCCTCCCAATCTGCCATATTTAAAATAAATTCTTCTCCAAGTTTTGTGAAAAAGAAAGCAATTTTTAAGAAATCGAGCAAACATGCTTGAAGAGTGACGGTTAATAATTTTATATGGTATGCTACTGTTCTTGCTGCTACTTTGACTAGCGATGGGTACCGAATTTGGTACTTTTTAAGGTACCGACCGAATTCCACAGTACCGAGCAAGCACCGATTCATTCATTTGAAATGGTGCCTCGTTTCGGTACCCGTCCTTCACAACGAGAACTTGCCTAGACAGCTGCGCATGCGCAAGAGCGTTATGTCGTCGCTCGCTGCGAGTTGTAAACAGAGCAGCATGGTAGAAAGAACGCACGCTAAAGCTTGGGTCCACTTCACTAAATGTGATGGGTAACTGGGTGATGATGAAACCAGCGACAACGATCTAAGTGAGACATCCTCATCTTAATCTGCTTCGGTAGGTAAATAAAATGTTTAAGATAACGTTAGCTTGATATGTTAGCTTCCGTTTCACTAATGGTCGCTTTCTCCTCGGAACTCCGATTTTCCGACTAGAAGAACATGAACGCGCTCTAAAGTTTGGCTTCACTTTACTAAATGAGACGGGTGATTGGGTGAAGATGAAACCAGTGACAATGATCTAAGTGTGAGGCATCATCGTTTTAATCTGCTCCAGCAGTTAAATAAACTGTTAAAGATAACGTTAGCATGATATGTTAGCTTCCATTGCCACCACTGTTATCAGCTAATGGTGCGTTCGCTTTCTCCTCGTAAATTCTAACTTCCCAGTAAGAAAAATCAAAGAAAAAGGACTGCAAAAGGAATGAAGATACACAGTAAATTTAGTTCACAGTAAAGATGTTTACTTCAGTTTAATTATCAGCTTATAAAACTACAAGGACGATGTTGAAATACAAACAGTTGTATGTTATTTATCGTGATATTTATCAAATATTGTTATATATTGAGAAAAATATATATTTAATTATAAAAGAGAATTAAAATATTAAACGCTCAAAAGTATCTAAAATTGGTACCGTTAAGTACCGGTATCGATTCCTAGGTACTGGGAATTGGTACCGAATCGATTCAAATGTCAAAGGTACCCATCCCTAACTTTGACAGAGGAAGAAGTGCACTGACATACCTGCGCCTCCAGGGGGAGCTGGAAGGCGTCTATGCGGTCAGTGAGGTAGGAGGTGAGTGTGTGGTCCAGCTGGCTCAGAGACTCCTGCAGCGTTTGGAGAGCCTGCTGATTCTCCTTCAGCGTCTGCAGCTGCTGCTCGAGGCCGGCCTGCCGGTTCACCGCCTGCACGACGACACCAACAGCAGGTCAGGGACTTAAATCAAAAAGCACAGGCTGGTGATTACGGAAGATAAACATCTCCACACAAGCATGGACACAAATGAGTCCTGACCTGATGGGTGAGCTGCTCGTAGCGGGAGTTGAAGGCCTCAAGTTTGTCACTAATGAGCTCATCCAGTATGCCCCCGTCTATCAGCGTCTGACCCAGCTCTCTGATTTGTGTCCGGTTGTCCCCCGGGTGGCGGAGCACGCTCTCCAAAGACTGGTGCAAACGTTGGGGAGGGGGGTAAGATGGGAAACCAGGGAAAATTACAATAAAACAATCTGTTGATGAAGCTGCAACAGAGATCAAGTACGTCCTACAAGTCAAAAGGTTTGCAAAAAAACAAAAAAAAAACAGAAGATGCAGGACAAGTGAGTAAAAACAGACCCGAGTCTGTCAGCGAACACCTGAAGAAACGCAGAACACCAGACGGAAAGATGATTTCCAGAGAAGGATTTGAGTGTTTGTGTGTAAAAAATTCTAAAGAATCAAAAAGCTGAAGAAAAAGCAGATGAGAGAAGAAATGTGATGTGATGGGTGTGTCAGAGAGGCAGATCTAACTAATATGTTAACTGAAAGAGAAAGAAAACACAAACGAGAGAGAGAGAGAGAGAGAGAGAGAGAGAGAGAGAGAGAGAGAGAGAGAGAGAGAGAGAGAGAGAGAGAGAGAGAGCGAGAGAGAGATCACATGTTTGGATTGTTTATGTAAGTTCAATTAAAGTGCTTCTCCTTCCTGAAGGTAACGGCAGTGAGAGTGACAGCCACCCAGTCACCCCCCCCCCCCCCCCACACACACACACACACACTGAAAGGGAGAGTCTAATGAGAAATTGGGAAGATGAAGAGTTTATATAATTTGGGAGGCAGTGACAAAGCAGGGGACTTACTAAAGAAGGAAAAAAGATCTAAAACACTTGATGAGAAGGACACGGACAAGAGAGAGAAGCGCCGTCTTCCAGAGTCTTCATCATCAAGTGATGAAGCAGAAGCAGCAAAGTGATTAAAGTGAGTTTGACAGACGCACTTCAGGCGGTCAACAGATATAGCAGCAGGAACGCGGGAGAAATTTGGAAGACGAATCAAAGACAAATGACGTTATTAGCCTTTAATTTCACATGGAATAAAACTGGATTGAGGAATCAAAGATAATCCAGTTTATAGTTTATGGATGCAGTCGCTGGGCTTTGGATTATTTATTCAAATTGTTCTTTAACTAAAGCAAGAAGATTTGCAGTATTAACCTGTTTCCTTTCATTATGTATGTGCTATTTAAGAATCTAGAATTAATATTTTAAATGTTGGTCTTGTTATCAGGATGCATGTGTGTGCATGTGTGTGCATGTGTGTGTGTGTGTGTGTGTGTGTGTGTGTGTGTGTGTGTGTGTGTGTGTGTGTGTGTGTGTGTGTGTGTGTGTGTGTATGCGTGTGCGTGTGTGTGTGCGTGTGCGTGTGTGTGTGTGTGTGTGCACCTCCAGAGCCTCATTAACAGCCTCGGGGCTCTCAGGCAGGTTTTCAGTAACTTGTAGTTTCTCCTCCACCGTTCTGAGCCAGCTCTGCTCCAGATCCAGGTACTGAAGCAGCTCCATCCAACAGGACCAGACCTCCTAAACACAACACAAAGGAAATCTTGCTCACTGCATTATTTAAACAACAACTAGCAGACTTTTGAGCTTGTGCACAGCAAAATCCGACCTTTGCACTGCTCATTCAAAAGGAAAACTAAAAGCAGAGCCTTAGACTCACAGACTAGCTCTGAAACCAGCTGCAACGGCATTAGTTTTAAAACTTTTATTCCTTGTAAGGGAACTAGTGAAAGTAAGTTAAAGACACAACGTTTCATTTCAAACAGCTCATCCCTCCAACTGAACCACGTCAGCTAGCTAAAGCTAAACAGGGTCCCTGCAGCATGAATGAATGAATAAGTTACGTTTTTCATTTTACGTTTACGTGCATTTATTGGGCTATTTTGGGGTACGTTATATTTTATTTGTTATATTTGACACAGAGAGATGAAGTTCACATTTAAACAAACCTTACCTCCAGAGTGTGGCATTTGCTCTTGAGTCGGTCACAAAGCTTGTGATAGCTGGCTAGGACACCGTTGAGCTCCGAGGTCAGCTCCTGTCCAAAGCGTCCACCAGGGGGCGACGTCTGAGACACCATCAGGTTGATGCTGTCTTTCAGGATCTTCACTTTCACCTCTTTCTGAAGCACATCCTCTCTCGCTCGCTAGAAAACAACAAAACCGAAGCGTAACAAGCTGCAACACATTTATCAAACAAGCTTGTTCATTTTCTCTACCTTCATCTCGTCCAGCGAAGCTTCCAGTTCCTCAGGACTTTTGTACTCAAAGTCTCGCATGAGGAACTCTTCGTCAACTTGAGCAATCCACTCCTGCATCTCTGCCAAGTCTTTCTTCAGATTCACCTGCTTCTCGTGAGTCTCTGCCAAACACTCCTGATGCCTCAGGATCTGCAGCAAAACAAATCAAAATGGAGTAAATTATGAAAATATTACAATTTAGGTTAACAACAAAAATTGTAGTGCATTTATTGAAACAGACACTAAACATAACAAAAACTGATGCACCAAGATTTTTGTCACCTGTTTGCTGAGTTGTGCCCATCTTCCTTCGAGCTCATTCAGATTATCCTGCCCCCACCTGGTCAGTCCTGGTACTGCAGTCGCCTGCACCGCTTTCACGTTTTCTTCTATCTGCTTGAGCGAACGTTCCACCAGCTCCATCTTATCTACATACTCCTATGTGCAGAAATACACAAGGATTTCAGATGTAGTCAAAAACTACAAATGCAATTAGAAGTAGGTCAGAACAGGAAAAATAACTGAGTAAAACTATTTCACAAAGTCAAATGCTTTGCATTTGGTGCCATCTAGCTGTGAAGTTGCATAATGCAAACAACTGACACTATTTTAACTATAGGGGCTACACATGAGGACTACTTTATAGTACTTTATAGCAACATGTTTAGGTCGTTTTGTGTTTATTGGTGTAAAATCTAATTTATGCTACAATCCAACATGAAAAGTTTCAACTGAATATAATTACATATTTATAAGTAGATCATATTATGTTTTGCACTTATCAAAATACACTTTTATTGATTTAAAATAGCCATTTTGATAATACAGTGTCATATGTTTGAGTTGCTGCTCATACTTTGCACTGATTTATCTCTTCCTGTAGGTTCTCTCGGCCTTCTAGGCCCGTGGCATCCCGGGACAACAGCTCCTGAACGCCATCCAACCACGACTCTGTTTTTTCCGAACACACCTGAACCCAACACATGAACCAACCGCTGCATCAAAGACACTAAACTTCATTTTAAGTTCCTATTACAGCTGATCTACCTGATTGTCCTTCATGCTACCCAGAATGCACTGCAGAGTGCTGTGATCCTCACGGACCCTGGATGAGAGCTGACTCCACTTCTGTAGTTCGGCCGGGTCAGAGGCGTGTTGCGTTTGCTCGATCTCCAGACACAGACCCTGAGATCAACAGGTGTTTAAAATGACACTTAAAAGCTGTTTTAACCACTGACTTGTTTCTTTTTTACCACCTTTAACCTTGTAGCAAATCTGAATGGAAACATCATGAAAAAGCAGTATCTTAATGTTTGTGCAGCTCTTTGAAAAACCTCATTTTGGAGAAACAGATTAGTTCTGACCAGATTAACCAGTCCACTGCTAATCCCAGCAGGTCCACGTCCAGAATGGATTGCCGTCTGCTGTAGCTATGGTTACCTCTGATGGAAATATGAGAGTTTTTCTGTATTAATGTCCAAGTAACATAAAACTGATGGCAGGGAAAATTAGGGATGAGCTGTATGTTGGCACCAACATTGGTCAACGTTAGTCATTTTTTGACATATTGGTAAAACTGGGCCAAAATTCACTGTTGTTTATTCCATCTTGTTACCATTTATGTGTGTGTGTGTGTTTCAGGAGAGGGAAGGAGCGGGTTGGCCATGTGGTATCAGTTTGAGCATGTGGGATTGTGGGGTTTCTAACAGAAGAAGAGAACCTTTCTGATGATGTAGGGAAATGGATATATTATTGATTAATATTGTTTATCGGCCATAGCAGCAGTATAAAATCAGATATCGAAATGTGTGTGTGTGTGTGTGCATCCCAAATCTTTAAAAAACAGCATTTGCATAAACCGCTTTGAAGTGTTCGTTTTTACGGCTGTTTTAGTCAGAATGAAACTTTCTTTAAAGTGACGTTGTTAAAACAGAAACAGATAAAATATTAATGACATCACTTAAAACCAATCTAAACGATTAAACTTTTAAGTTCTATTTTTCTCCTTCTGTGGTTTTATTTAGTTGTTTTTTGGCAGCTTTTGACGGCTGAAGGAGGACGGGAGCAACAAGAGCCAACATGACTGCAGGAGAAATTCCACCAGCTCAAAGCTGGAAGCGCTTCAACACTTGGGTTAATTACATGTTCACATGACATGAATTGTGTTTAAATGATTGCAAATGCATCTACTGAGCGAGTCTGAAATGTGTGGAAGGAAACATGAACCCATAACAAAGTTGAGTCAAGAATATCCGTGTCATCTCTTCTCATTAGGCTAATAACTATATGATTTCCCAAACGTTGTCATGGCTTTGTATGTTGTGGCTGCTAGGCTGATGGACCAGCTCATTGGCTCCACACGAAGCTTTGTGCTTCATGCACGGGCACGCTGCCCAGAATGTGCCACGACCCGCCACGAACCCCCCCCCCCCCCCCCCGCACCGATAACAAGCGAACAGACTGAGCCACATTCCACTGCAGCACGGAGAGTAAAAACACAAGGAATGCAACAACACACATCCATCTGTGCAGAAACAGAAAAGGCATGTTCACACACACACCTTCTCCCACTCACAAACATTTCATTCAGCGCTACGGAAAGCCACTGATAAAGAGCTCTATTGTGTTTGAGGTGAGCTGACACTAAACTGATTTGCATCAGATGTGTCATCATCTGCAGAAATATAAACAAACAGCTTTACCAGATCTCTCAGGGAAACGTCTCGGTGTTCTTTAACCATCACAAGGTGCTCACCTGTGCTCGCTCCACCGCGGCCTCTGCAGTGTGTACGTCCACTACACTTTCCTTCAGAGTAGCCAGCCTGCTCTCCAGACCCTCCAACCCCTTCTGAGCCGCCTGGGAGGCTTTGAGACTCGATAAGGCTGGGGAAAAACAAAAGGGAAAGGTTAAGTGTGTAGAGTACAGAAGGGGAAAACATGCTAAAGGAAATCATGTTACAATCAAAGCATTAAAGCCCTCATTCACTTGTTAGCTCTGCTGTGGTCTCTATAATGAATGTGAATCGTCCTCAGCGAGATAAAAAGCCCTAGTGCTCCTGTTTCAGGAAGTAGAAGTTAGCTGGAGGAGTGGGGGCCAGAAAGCGGCAGGATTTGGACTTTTCATCATTACAGTTTTTTCTATCGCTAACAAGCTCTCACCCACACATCAGATACTTGTTCTAAACTCTAAACACAGATTCACTCCTACAAAACACGATTGGCCAAATGGAACATTTTCCTCTCAAAAACACATTTTGATAAACATAAACTAACTCTTCATTTCAAAATAGAGACCTTTACCCAAACACTGGATATCTGACTCAAAGTGAAATTGTTCTGTCAAAAAGTAGAATTTGTTTTCACTTCACAAGATACATTCAGTCAATCAAAGCACACCAGGTTTCAAAATACTGGCGATTGTTGACATTACAAAAACCGCATAGTTTTACGTTTCAGTTTTAGAGGTAAAACATGCAATCCACCGTTTTTACACGACATTTCTCTGGTGTGAACTGTATGTCCACATATGATGTGCACATTTCAAAGCATTCCAGTAAAAAGCTAATCCTGTTTTTCCTTTCCTGTTTATTTCAGGAGGTACAGCAGAAATGTTTACAGTATGACAGAACAGAAAAAGGTCTACAGTGTTGCTTGTAGTGAACAAAAGATCAATGAAACAAACAAAAGCATTCTGAACCAAAAAACAGCACAAAGCCCAGATAAAAGGAGGCAACTACAAAACGCACTCAATGACTGTGGCTAATCTCCGCGATCTTCAGGGTTAGGCCACGTTTTCATCAACATCGTGTCTCATATCATCCAAAGCGATGCACCTGGGATAAAACCGCTTGCTATGTCGGATCCACCCTTGGCCATCATCAACCGTGATGTGCCTGCAGCCAGCATCCATAGCTTCCAGAAGGGACATGTGGTCATGTGGCTGATGGTCATGTGGCTGATGGTCATAAACCTTCCACCTCCACGCAGAAAATAACTCCTCTATGGGGTTGACAAAAGGATTTACACTATATCTGGACATAGAGTCGTCGTAGCTCCATGACTCTGTCACTGTTCCTCTCAAATGGAACAGAGTAGAGCTGCTTCATCCGCACTCTGTGTTTGGACAATGTCCGTGTAATTGGTTGTGAAGCTGATGCCATCATTATTCTCATGGTCCTCCACTATTCTAGTCTGAATTTCATGCAGTTTTATTGTATTATTTGCAATAACCGTTTCCACAATGGCAAGCTCTTGACCATTATTACCATTATTGAGGAGCTTTCCTCTTCCCTCAGAGGGTGGAAGATGTTGCATTCTTTAGAGAGAAAAATGCATTACTGTATGGTCTTACGTAATTATACTTCAATTGACTCATACTCTTCCTCATCCAGACATCACAGTGCTTGTTTTTTCTGTTGCTGTTTCCATACTTGACACCTCAAAGTCCTCCTTTTATTTTAGTTTCAATGTAACAGAAACATAACACCTTCCACTGAGTCTAAGCCTGAATGTAATCAGCTGTGGTCGGCCCAATTTACCTAACATACATCAGCTGTGTGTAAATTATTCCGTTGTTTGTTTATTATCAACTGAGATATATTGTTCTTGAACTCATCATCGCAGAAGCAGAGGTTTTTATACTGCATCTAAGGTTAGGACTATTGTTTTTGCTATTGCGGGATGTTGTGTGTTAACATTTGCAAATACTACTAAAACAATCCATAGTTTTGTTGGGAGGAATAGCTTCTCTGTTGAGACAATGTAAACATTATGGAAATCCGTTGACTGACTGCATATTGTGTGAAAACGACATGAAATGTGTGAATTATATGGCCACAAAACAAACGCTTGTTAGCGACTGAAAAAAAACTGTAATATTCATGAAATTCAAACCGCTCGCCTCTGATTGGCTAACAGCAACACAACTCTACCACTGACTCCGTTTGTTTTGCAAAGTTGATGTTTTATCTCCACAAATGACACAAGCTTGAAGGAGTTCTGCCATGTCGTGGAGTCGCTAAAAGCCAGAAGGTGCTCTGCTCTCTCCTGGATGTGGAAAATCAACACAATCTTCCCCGGCAACAAGCCAAGGTGGGTGAGTCCAAACCGTATATATATGTTGATGGTCCAAGCACATTTATTTTCAAGGTTAAGTAGATCTGTGTGGCTTTTCTGACCTCCTTGTTATGTTCTGTGTTTCTGTTCTTGTCTAACGCACACAAGTTTTATCTGATTTTACTAACAGTTTCAGCTACTTTCGGTCATCAGAGCTTTGCCGTTTATTTGCAGGTCCAGGGTTCATATCTCCTTATCTTGATCGGCTTTTTTATCCATCTTCTGTACTTCTGTTGTTATGATCCGTGTGTTGTCCCAGTCCATAATGTCCACCAAAGCTCTGACGAAGGCGACCGGAAGTAGCCGACACAGTCAGCAAAATAAGATAAAATCTTTCCTACTCTGTGTGTTAGACAAGAACAGAAAACCAATGGTTTCTCAGTGAACTTGCTCCTTGAAGCCAGTATCTAATTGGGTGACAGGAGTGACAGGGCATTGTTAAGGTTTCAAAAGTTTTCCCGTAGTACAGAATCATCGTGAGTGTCTAGGATCCTTCTCAATTTAGTTTCCCCCCCAAGTCAGATGATCAAGGAAGACGACTTTGGGAGAGGTTGGTGAGTGAAAATTTTACATATTTAGATCAAATGAAGCCCCTTTGTGACTAACTTGGCAATAATTAAATATGCCTGACAGTTGTAAGACTGTTTTCTTAACCCGTATGTAATGACGTCACACGCTCCATGTGACCCAACTTGTAGCAAACATGCTTCACATATAAATTCAATGTGTTCCAAATTAAAAATGAATCCATGAATCAGAGTTATTTCTACAAGAAAATAAAAAGTTTTACTCTCTTAAACCGCTCGGCCTCATAAAACCACAGATGCAGCATCGCAAACATCTAATGCTAATTAGGATTCAAAGGTTTAAAGAGGCTACATGAATAACATTAGTCAAACTTCATTACACTGGAGGGCAGTGTTTGGGTGCATGATGCTCCACCGCTTCGGTTTCCTCCTCGGTTAATTACCAGGTGATTTCAAGCTTACATCATCTGGCTTTGTGTTTATGTAGAGACAGAGCAGAGTTGGCGTGGATGCTAAAGGTGGAAGTGGCACAGCAGTAAGAAAACCACCTTAAAGCAAAAACAAAAAAAGGTTCGTCTTGGGTGTTATCCACATTTTTATAAGTCATAAAACCCAGAGAGGCACATCAGAACACACACACACACACACACACACACACATTACTGAGAAGGGCATTCGAGTTGTCCTTTAGGGACTTGATTTCGGCAAAGAGCGGTGCTCATAAATTCCTGAGGTAGAATGGTGACTGATTTTCAGGACTGCTCCATATCCATGAGCCGACCTAAAGCGAAACCCGCACAGAGGCCATAAAAGGACATCCTCTATTACTCGACACTGGCCAAGGTTTCATATAGAAGCTGATGTCACATTTACATAGGCTGTGTGAAGCTGGGCTCTTGTTGTTTCCTCACAAACCTGAAAGCTTCAGACCAGGAAGAAAGACAAAGAAAGCTCGAGGAGGTCAGAAATCAAACTGGTGTTGTTAGTCAGAGTTTTGGTTTTAATTTCTTTCATTTTCTAATGAAAAAGCAGCATTACCATCCTTCGCTTCCTGTTCTCTGCTCTGCAGCTGCTGCAGTGTGGAGGCATGGTGTGCAGAAACAACCACCAGGCTGTCTTTCAGAGAAGGCACCGCTCCCAGTGTCCCTGCCTCTGTGGACAGGCGCTCGAGTCGTGGAGTCAATGCTGCGATTTGACCAAGTCGTGTCTGCAGAACACAAGAGGATTAACAAACTAAACGCTCTGGCACAAAGAGAGATAGAAAGGGAGGGTTTTAGTTAGCTTCAGAAATAAATTAGGATATTTTGAACGGATTACAGTCCTCCGGGAATTCTGAATACTTTTATGGTTCACCCTTCTGCTTCAACGAGTTTTTGCATATCTGAAGAAAACAGGTGTTGCTCTTTTTTTAAATCCAGAGTGAGAGCAAACTGTACCAGCAGCTGTTAGGAAACCAAAATATCTCCATCTGCCAATGTTCATTAATACATGCAACTTTCAAAATATTAGAACATTTTAAGCTTTAAGGATCAAAGTCTCGATGTTTGTGACGTGAGTGATGGAGCAGCTAAAAAACTAACTTAAACATTGCTTTAATTTATATTAGCATCTCTTCTGACCCATGGTGGCCTCCATGGGCGTTTTTTTCCTTTTAAACGCTACAGGCATCATGAATCGAGGGTTAGAGGTGAAAGAAATCTGGATTAAAGAAAACTTTAAATAAAGTAAATCTCACCTGACATTCTCCACTTAGTTTTCTGAGCTCAACGTCATCCAACGTTTGAACCGATGGGGTCGTTTCCAGCCACCGGTCCTGATTCTGCAACAGCTGGTTTACGTCTGCGAGTTCTACAGAAACTGCTCTGACCCGAGTCTGAGTGTGAACCCGATCACGAGCAGCCTGCAGCTCACGTGCACAGACGTCCCACTCGGTCTGAATCAGATCCACGTTTTCCCTCACAGAGTCCACGCTCACGGCCTCTACGAGAAAACACAGAGGGGCAACAGCTCACACCAGAGGAACTGGAACGTTGTTTAGGAACCCCTGGTGGAGGGAAATGTGCTCTTCTTACCTCTCTCTAGCTGCTCCATCAGGCTTCGCCCCCCCTCTATCACCTGGTGAACTGATCTTTCCTTTGATTTGAGTTCCAACTCCAGACCCTAAAGTTAAATAAAATGACTTATTGTTGGAATAAACATTCCAATTACATCTATTTGACTTGAAACTGTTTAAAAAGCAACTTTACGTCTAGTTTCTCCTGGAGATTTGGCATTTCTGGCGTGGCTTCAGGAGGAGTGGAGGCAAGAGCCTGAGCAGATGTCTTCCATGTTTTCATCCAGCTCAGTAAATCAGAAAGTTTGTTTTCAAACCTGCAGAACACAGCATGCTGGTTTAGATGCATCTGAAAGCCTTTCTTTTTATTATTAAGACTCATTCTGAATAGCAGTTCTTACACTTTTCTGATTTCTGCATCGGTCTCCACCAGTCGCCTCTTAGGGGGGGCAGGTTCAGACGAGTCCTGCTCCAGAGTGAAAGAAGCCGTAGCGTCCATCTCCACCGTGGCCTGCTCTACAACTTGAGTCATTCCAGCATCCGTTACAGCCTCCATCACCTGAGGGTTGGAGCACTAAAGTCAACGAGGCTCACTGAAACCTCTAATGTCTCTGATAGCTCTCATGCTGCGTCATGTAAATTCTACGAACGTTTTATTATTGTTCGCCAATAGGAACACACACCTGGAACGAGCAGTCCTCCAGCTTCTGCACCAAATTGTCCCATCGATGAGTCAGCTCTTCAGTGTCGGCCTCGATCTTAGCTCCTACCTCAGAACTTTGCAGCAGCTGCATCACATCCTGTCCTGCCTCAGACAGCTTGTCCAGCGTTCTTCTCTTTTTCGCCATGTCCTCCTTTAAAACCTGCAAAAACACAAAAGTGAATGCATTAAAGTGGGCTTTTGCTTCAGTGTTATTTACTGGTTCACATGCAAGCGCTGCAGAAGCTGGAGAATAATCAGCTCTTCACTTACTGTTAACTGAAGCACATAAGAATTGATTTCACCGGGGTCTTTAAAGTTGCTGGTCTGAATGTCTAAGGTTGCTTCTTTGTCAAACAACCACTCTCTGAACAAACTCTGAGGCGAAAGGAACAAAAGCATCTTCAGTCTGAGCTACAAGCATCAGAAAGTTTTGGTTTTAAATGTCAAAAAGTAGTCAAAGAGTTTGGAGAAAAGGTGAAACAACCCACCTGATCTGACAGAAGCTGCTGCCAAACCAGAAAAACATCCTGCAGCTTCTGCCACCTTTCTTCTGTCCAGCGGCACACGGCTGCCCAGCGTTCCCCCAAAGACTGAATCAAAGACAAAAATACAAGAATCCCGTTTTTTATTAAAAAATGGAAAAATAAGACAACAATTGAGAATACAAATAATCTACTACTTCCTGACGTTTTACCTGTAGTTGTTCCTCAAGAGCAGCAGTGGCGCTCTCACCGCTGTTCTCATCCACCACGACCACCATGTGGGTCAGAGAGTTGACCTTTACCTGCTCAGCCTCCAAATCATTCTGCAGCTCCTGTGCAGCGAATGAGAAACGCAGAACAGTCAGATGTTACCGTTAGCTAACAAAGTGGCAACTAGACTGACAGAAAACAGAAATAATGCTAATTCATCTGCAGATGGTGTTGTGTTCACGTCAACTTTAACAAATTAAATCACGTGTCACAAAATAAAAGTCCGAAACAGGCACTTTTATTCACTTTGTGGTTTTCTATCTGTTCTCTGTAGCCCTCCAGGTCTGCAGCTGCTGGTTGAGTTTCCATCTTTTTGATTCGCTCCTCCGTCACCGTCAGCCAATCAGAAAGCTGCTGTAACTGCTGCTGCTGAAGATCCATCAGAACTTCATGAAGCCTGGAAATCAAAAGACAAACAAAAGAAAAACAAAAACAGATTTAGAAAATAAATTCAGTTTATTAGACTTAAGATTCTTTTGAACTAAAGTAAAAATGACTGTTTGAGTCCCGTAGTCAACAACCTACATTAAACAAAAGTGTCTGTGAGTGTTTTCACCTGGCCTGGCGGTCCATGCTGGCCACCCTGAGGGCCTCCCAGCGGGAATTGAGGAGGGTCATCTGCTCCCGAATTTCATCTTCCTCCTCCTCTGTGAGGCTGCCCTGGGCCATCAGTTGGTTACCCGCCTGCAGCACGTTTCCCACACTGCTCTGATGAGCCGTCAGCTCCATCATAAAGGCCTTAAAAAGGGGAAACAAAGCCCAGAGTCCCAGTAAATGGAGAGGAAACCTCTGAGTTGCGTCCATGGGAGGAAAATGTACAAAAGCTTATAGAACACAAAACAACCTGCAGACACACAGCTCAGAATTGAGTGTGTGCTGACCCAGAGCACAGGTGTCTATAATAACAACAACAACAATAATAATAGCAATAATAACAAAGTCTTTATGAAAATCTGGAAACGTTTTTCTTTAGATGGTTTTATTTCTGACTTCAGCAAACATCTCCTGCACACCTTTTATGGTGCATGTGTTGTCATAGCAACAGTGTGTAGGTAAGCACAAATTGAGAGACTAGCTGCTAGTTGCTAAGAAGGCCAGTTCTGAAGCAACAAAATGATTTTAAGTAGGAAAACTGAAAATTAAAACAGCAAAATTGAACTTTTTTTAATTCATCATCATGAAAAGCTTTTAAAGAGGCTTTGGGTCTGGTTCCTGAGTCTAACAACCAGCTTTCTGCTTTGACCTGGATTCCAGTCATTCATTTTCACTAATATTCCCATTTCAGCCATGGGAATCCATCCAAAGCCCCTTTGCACACAAGCACAGACACAAAACTGCTCTAATGCACACACACACACACACACACACCGCACCCGCCCCCACGTCAAGCAAACAAGTACGCTCCAGGCCAGGATGTTTTGGAGTGCTATGTGCCACAGTTCCAAAAAAAAATCCCTGGAATTCCCAACATGTAGGAACTCCAAGTTGTGGGAAGCCTTCCTTGCTCTCAATGAAAGATGGCAGGTTTAGAGAAACATGTTGTCAGACGCGTCCACACTGTCATAAATCTTAAAGATATGTTTTAAATCAGGAAAACGTATGAAAATGCAGTTTATACGTGTTTAATGACTTTATTAGCTGAGTTTGTGGCTGAGTCGGCCTGACTCCTCCCACCTCGTGCGTGTGGAACTGCTCCTTTACTTCTTCCACGTCGTCCGACACCTCGTCCTGCATCTGTAGAGCATCCTCAGCGGACAGCAGCCACGTCAAAACCTCCTCCAGAGTCGCCTGATAATTATCAAGGTCTGCCTCCAGGATACCCTCCATCTCCGCCCCGGACTCTGTCAGGGTGCTGAGGGTCTCCGGACGTGGGCTGCTGCTGCTGCTTGCCTCCTCGGTTGCCACGTTCTGAGAAAAAAAAAACATCCAAGAATAAAACACATCTGTCATCTTAAAGTGAAACTGACATTCCTTTTATTCAAAAGGTCACAACGACACAAATACAAAGCTAAAAGGCTAACGTACAGCTCTCAGGACACAGGATGATTATGAAATATGGCATTTGTTATTTATATTCCTAATTACATCTGTGAACATCAGCTGACAAGTTCTAAAATAAAAGCAGGCATTTAAGGAGGGGAGCTGTGCAGTTCTGGAGCATTCGGGATGACATGCCCTGTTTAGCTCCTGGGATCTGCCTCTGACACACAAGAACGATCAACCAGAATTTTAGGAATACAAAGGATGTTTTAAACACAAAAACTGCAAGGATGTTTTATTTCAACACCACAAAACTGTGTTGTCAGCTTTCCTGGTTTCTGTCATTGTGAGGAAACCGTTGAGGAAAAACCTCGACAGAACTCGGCTAATCTGTCTGGAGCAGACCAGGATAAATCCTCGGCAGCAGCCAAGTCAAACAGGACAGAAAAGCTTCATGGGCGTGTGGAGGACCAGTACAGTAAACCAGTTAAATGGACCTTTGTTCTTAAAAGCTGAAACGACTCCGTGGTACGGCCTTTGCAGCAAAGTTCAGCAGCTGAAAATATTCACCGAGCTTTCGGATTCTTTGGAAAAAGTTCCAAGTCTCTGGCTAAACCAGAACAATAAATCAGGAACAAGAAAAGTGAATGTGAAACACACTAAATTCAATGTTTTTCAAAAGGGAAACAGCGCTGTCACTGAAACAAAAGACTTGCTCTTTTAGGCACCACTTCCTACCAGGAGAAAGTCCTTCCAGGAAAGTGCGCTTCTTTCTGGATAAACTGGAGCATTACATAAGACTTTTCCAGCATCTATTCCAGGGTGTGTGAAGAATGCGCCCATGGGATATGAAACAACCTAAGAGGTGGTTTTGAGATTTTTTTTTACTTGTAACTAGAAGCTTTCTAAATAAGCGGCCCTGAGGATATAATTAAAATGGCTGCCAGAGGCTTTTACAGCAGAAGCAAATGGAAAATGCAAATAATTTTATCAAACTTGCTTCATTTTCTTTCCATTTTTCTACCCTATAGTCAAACATTTGGAGTTGAGCTGTTCAGGCATGAACTAAAGCTCACCAGCTACCTCTTTACTGCTGATGAAATGCTCCCTGTAAACTCTCTGTACACTCCAGTTCTCACCACTTTATCCCTTCATTTCCTTCCACCCACTTACAGCTCTGTGTTTCCAGCCTGCAGCATGGTCTGTTGGATAAAGTCAGAGGGGTGAGTCATAGCTCGGCTCCCAATTTGCCCGTGCCTGCTGTGTTTTTCATGAGCGAGTATGGAGAAAATGAAGACAACTTCTTTTTTTTAGAAGTGGCAGTGACTCATTATGTCCAGCAACACAGGGCACACACTATTACTGAAGTCTTTAAGCTAAAGGTGATTCGAAATTAAGTGCAGCAGCAAAAGTTGGAGGAGATTAGAGTCAATTTTGTGCAAATGTTTAAGTAGCTGGACTTTCACCTTTATGTTCAGTAGGGCTGCACAATATATCGTAAATATATCGTTATCGCGATATCAGCATGCGCAATATGCATATCGCAAAGAGATTAATATCGCAATGAATGGTCAGCTCAAATGTTTGCTACACATGATGCATTCTGTCAATCCAACGGAAGCATGATGTTTTATAACAAATCAAATAGAGCTCTTCACCCATTTGGCCAGTTGGGTGGGTTCTCATAGGTTAGAGTCCCGCATCCGAGGCAGACAGCACTTAATTTTGATGGTTAGCAAACACCTGAGTTAGCTTAGTTCTGCTCTTTCTGCGGATTCTGCTTTTCCCGGGATCCACTGATCGCCTTTTCTTGTTTCTTTCCCCACATCATTTGCTTTTCTCATTTTTATGATTTTTTTATTTCCTTGTTTTTGATTATTTTTGTTCCTGAGTTAAGTTTTTATTTATCGCAAGTAATATCGTCATCGCAATATTAATCAATGTTATCGAATATCGCAGGTTTTCCTAATATTGTGCAGCCCTAATACTCAGAAAAGTGTTTGCTTGCATTTGCACAATCAAAGGAATTCAGACAAGCTGTCAGCAGGGGATATAGTTCATTGGATGTAAGGTCACTGTGAAATAAGGGAATTTACTCTTTTTTTTACTATTTGCATAAACAACCAATATGACAAAAGTATAAAAACCATTAAATAGAGCTATGTTCTACCTTGCATCTTAAAAGCATCAAAAGTATATTTTACATCCATTGAGGCTTTGCTTTACAACTGGAAATTGTTCTTTCAATTCAATTCGATTCAAAAATACTTTATTAATCCCAGAGGGAAATTGATTGCTGTAGTAGCTCAGAATAATAATAATAATCAAGTCATCAAAGAGTTGTTGTATATTACAATGGCTGTTGGTAGGAAGGATCTCCAGTAGCGGTCAGTGTTGCAGCCAAACTGAAGAAGCCTCTGACTGAAGACACTCTTCCGTTGTCGGACAGTCTTGTGAAGAGAATGCTCAGGGTTGTCCATAATTTTCTTGATTCTCTGGAGAATCCTTCTTTGCATTATCTCCTCCAGTGGTTCCACAGTCGTCCCCAGAACAGAACCAGCCTTTTTTATTAGGCTGTTGAGCCTTTTCAGGTCCCTGCTTCTGATGCTGCTACCCCAACAGACATGGCTGAAGAGATTACACTCTCAACAACAGACTTGTAGAAGATCTGCAGCATCTTGCTACATACATTGAAGGACCTAAGCATCCTCAAGAAGTGCAGTCTGCGGTGTCCCTTTTTGTAAACAGCTTGGCTGTTCTTTCTCCAGTCCAGTCTGTTGTCCAGGTGAACTCCAAGGTATTTGTATTCCTCAACCACCTCCACTTCTTCTCCCATGATGGAAACAGTGTTTGACTCCACCCTGTTTCTTCTGAAGTCTAAAATCGTCTCCTTTGTTTTGTTCACGTTCAAGGTCAGATGATTGTTTCCACACCATGCCACAAAGCGCTCCACCAGCTCTCTGTACTCAGCTTCCTGTCCATCTCTGATACACCTGACAACTGCAGAGTCATCTGAGTATTTCTGTAGATGACCGGTCTCTGATTTGTACTGGAAGTCTGGGGTGTACAGGGTGAAAAGGAATTGTGAGAGTACAGTCCCCTGTGGTGCTCCAATGTTAATGATCACCTGGTTTGATGTGCAGTTCTTCAGCCTCACAAACTGTGGTCTGTTTGTCAGGTAGTCTTTAATCCAGGCGATAGTTGAGGCCCCCACCTGTGTCTTCTGGAGTTTCTGGGAAAGTACATCAGGATGGATTGTGTTAAATGCACTGGAGAAATCACAGAACATGACCCTCACAGTGTTGCCTGCTTTGTCCAGATGACAGTGGATTGGTTGAAGCAGCTGGATGATGGCATCTTCAACTCCAACTCCATGGCGATAAGCAAACTGCAGCGGGTCCTGATATGTTCTAGTTTGCTTATTCAGGTGGACCAACAGGAGTCTCTCCAGGACCTTCATGATGTGGTATGTCAGGGCAACTGGTCTGTGGTCATCATTGACTGATGGGTGAGTTTTCTTTGGAACTGGAACAAGGCAGGATGTCTTCCACAGGACTGGAACCTTCTGCTGGGCCAGGCTGAGGTTGAAGAGGTGTTGCAGAATCCCACAGAGCTGCTCTGCACAGGCCTTCAGTACCCTGGGGCTGACACCATCTGGACCTGCCGCCTTGCTCCTGTTCAGTCTCTCCAGCTGCCTCTTCACCTGACTTCGAGAGACAGATAGGTGGGAGGGGGAGGTAAATGGGGCAGCAGCATCTCCTGACTTGGTTGAAGACAGATTTATAGAACCAGAAGAATCCATGACTGCGTTAGAGGAAAAAAGAGCTGGCGCGTGACAGGAAAATGTTGGGCCAGAGGAGGATGGGATGTCTGATTGGCTGGGGACAGGTGAGGAGGATGCTGGGTTTGTTCCTGAACTGAACCTATTGAAGAACCTGTTCAGTTCATTGGCTGTGTCCGGACTGCCATCTGTGTAATCCTTCCTCTGCTTGAAGCCTGTGATCTTCATCCCTGACCAGACATCTCTGATATTGTTCCTCTGTAGTTTGTTCTCCAGCTTCTTCTTGCATGCCTCCTTGCTGTCTCTGATCTTGGTCTTCAGTTGCTTCTGTATACTCCTCAATAATTCCCTGTCTACCTCCTTGAAGGCTCTTTTTTTCTCATTCGGCAGATTCTTCAGTTCACTGGTGATCCAGGGTTTGTTATTAGCAAAGCATCTCACTGTTCTGGCGGGTATGATGTTGTCCACACAGAAGTTTATATAGTCAGTGACACATCCAGTCATGGCATTGATGTCCTCTTCATATCCTTGGCAGAGAAGTCAACCAATCTGTGGTCTCAAAACAACCCTGCAGGGCTTCTTCAGCGTCCTGTGACCATTTTCTCACAGTTCTTCTTGTCACAGGTTGCCTCTGAACAAGTGGTTTATATTCTGAACAGAGAAAAACAAGATTGTGATCTGATTGTCCCGGAGGAGGTCTTGTTTTGGACATGTATGCATTCTTTACATTTGCATAACACAAATCCAATGCCTTGTTTTCTCTGGTGGAGCAGCTGACAAACTGTTGAAATGTTGGAAGTGTAGCAGAGAGCGAGGCATGATTAAAATCACCAGATATAGCCACAAATGCATTGGGGTACTGGGTTTGTAGCTTAGCGACAACGGAACTGATGGCATCACATGCATTTTCAGCAATGGCTGAAGGTGGAATATAAATGGTTGCCAAGACAACACTGGTGAACTCTCTTGGCAAATAATATGGGCGACAACTTACTGCCAAGAGTTCAACATCTGGGCTGCAGAGACAACATTTCACTGAAACATGACCTGGATGGCACCATCTGTTGTCGACAAGCACTGCCACTCCACCTCCTTTTCTTTTCCCGCTCCATTTCAGATCTGTCTGCTCGTACAGTTAGGCATCCTGGCAGACAGACGCTGGAATCGGGGATATGGTCCTGCAGCCACGTCTCAGTGAAACACACTGCACTGCCGAAACTCTGGCTGAGTCCTTGAAAGCGCTTGGCGTTCCTCCATCTTGTTGGCCAGTGATTGCCCATTATGATCGATGGAAGAGATGGTTTGAATTTCCTCTTTCTCTGTCTTCGTTTTGCTCGCACTCTGCACCCACGCTTCTTGCGTTTTAGCTCATTTGGGATTTTTGGCTTCAGTTGAGGTATTATTTCAGCCTTTCCAATGTTAATCAGCTGCTCCCGATTGTAAACCAGCTTGTTGCCATGGTTACGCATCATAACAAATGCTCAAAAAGTGAAAAAATAGCAGTAAAAATCCTCCAAGCTTCACAGCACCAGAAACAGAAAAGTAAAATGTCCAAAAAAAATACAGTTTTTCTTGAGAAACTAGAAGAAAAAATGCCCAAGAAAAGGCTAAACTTACATATAGTCAATAGAGCTACTCCAACATGCAGCCACCCAGAGCAGCGCAGTTCCGGAATTAAGAGCCTCTATAAAGCATTTGAAATGTTGTTGGGGTTCAAAATGGCCCAGGAGCCTTGCTACATGGCCAAACACAACCCAATAGTAAAGTCATACAATGGAAAGACTGGTTTGCCCCACCCACTCAGCCAGGACATGAATATTGAATAAGCTGCATGCTTAGCCAGTTTAGCCCAAAGGCTCTAGGACACTGCCTGATGCTAGAAACTCTGTGTAGCCATGTAAAGCATCTGGATTACTTAATAGGCAAGCTGTGTATCTATCTGGAATTCATTCAATGTCTGAATATCCCCAGACGTTAACAGGAGCTCGGGTTAGCATCAGCAAAAGCTCAGGCTAGCGTTATCAGGAGCTCAAGCTAGCGTAAGTAGAAGCTGTAGCTAGCATTACCAGATGCTCAGGCTAGCATTACCAGGAGCTTAGGTTAGCGTTACCAGGAGCTCAGGTTAGCGTTATCAGGAGCTCAGGCTAACATTAGCAGGGGCTCGGGCTAGCATTAGCAGGAGCTTTGTCCAGGGCAAACTGGAGCTCAGGCTAGTGTTACCAGGAACTCGTTAGCATAAGCAGAAGCTGTAGCTAGCATTACCAGAAGCTCAGGCTGGTGTTAGCAGGAGCTCAAGCTAGCGTAAGCAGAAGCTCAGGCTAACGTTAGCAGGAGCTTGGGCTAGCTTTAGCAGGAGCTTGTGCTAGCATTAGGGTTAGGGTAGCTTGGGAAACCTTTCAAGATTTTTGCATCACTATCAATCCAAATGAACATTTTTTTAAATATACAATGTGTCAAAAAAATCTCAGCAAAAGTCAGGTGACTCACTCCTCCATGTTAACAGTAGAGATGCACAGACTCGTGTTTTAAGAGCTTATACCAATTTAACCAACTCATGTTCACTGACCTGCTGATACCAAACTTGACAGAATCTGATTTATCTAAAAGAGCTTTCAATTACAGAATAATTTATTTTTCTGATTACCTTGAAAATGATCATTCTGAAGTAAAGCACTATGCAAGATTATTGCCAGCATATGTTGAAGGTCGTGACCAGAAACAAAAACAAACATTTGCAGACTGGCTGATCACTGAAGGAGTTAATCCGATTGAGCACAAGCCCATTCAATCACCAACTGGTACTTTCATTAATAATGACTGCAGTGTTGGGAAGGTTATCTTTGGAGATGTTATTGATATACGTAAATAACTGATGGGTCCGTCTATTTTTCTATTTATTCTGTTAAACATAAAAACACTCCTGTTTAAGGAATGCATCAATAGACTGGTGTGATGTCACAAGATATAGGAGATGCAACTTGGACTCCCTCACCCTCCAGTTATGAAGTTGAAAAACTAAATGTACATGTTACAGGTAATCATGCCAACAGAATGACAAGTTGAGTGAAGAGATAGCTATTTTTGAATCTGTTCCACAGCTGTGTTCCAGCTGTGAATTTTATAAATTTTCATCCATAAAAAACACCTTGTGTTTTGTGGAAAACAGATGCGATTTTGTTATTTTGTGGAGTCTCCAAATCTATTTTTCCCATAAGATGAGAAAAAAACAGCAAAGTGTTTGGTGCTAATACAGATTCTTGATGTTAGTGCATGAGAGCATCAAACCCAAACTTAAACCTCCGTACCCTCCTTTATCATGTAACATGAAGCAAGTGCAGGTGCTGAATATTTTACCTGCATGCCGAGTCCTGGACCAGAGGTCTCGGCCTCCACTTTGTACCGGCGAGGCAGGGTCTCCACCTCCCTGATGGCCTCCATGCTCACGTCTTTGGGAAGCACGGCAAACAGCGAGGTTACATACATGATGATGGACTTCTTATCTGGTAACTGCACCGCCACATCTGAGGCAAAGGGAGCAGGTCAGCAGTAGGCAGGTGGGTGCAAAGCAGGCATAAGAGCCAGAAGGAAGAAAAGGAAGATAAAAAGGTGAAAATTGCAAAAGAAACATGAAGCACGGCAGAATGAGATGTAGTGAAAGATGTCAGGAGGAGATTAAACAGGAAGCAAGGTGAGAGTGGGGGGAAAAGCAGGTTGAGATGGGTTAAACTAATTAAACATGACTTTGAAATGAGACAGTCAAGATATAGGGTAAATTACCAAAGTACACTAAGTTCTCCCCTTTAGATTTACAGTCGGAGACCACCTCATGGTATTTGCTCTAGAGTTTATCCAGCTGCTGGCAAGACTTGAAACTAACTTCATGATCACAGAGAATGTTTTTATAAGCAGGAATTTAGACAAAAGTGACTGTCAGACCCTTTTTTAACCTGAGTAAAACGATCCAAATAAAAAATAGAACCTTCAGGATCCAGAAGCCTCTCGATGCCCAGCTGATTTTTGGCTAACGTGAAGGCGTGGTCGAGTCTCTCCACTGGACTCATCTTGAGCACCTGATCCCACCTGAATGCATCGGGCCTGATAAAGCACACACACACACCCGCAGCAGAGCGACACACAGTTAGCACCTGAGAAATGTTAGTATTATTTAAGATGAGGTGGAAATACAAAATAGAGGAGCGTTTTCTAAGCCAATCTCTGACTTGACAATTCTGTTTATTTGTAGGAATTAGAAATTACAACATATCATTTTTCTTTTAATTTGATAGATTATTTATCTTTTCTTTAATTTAATATAAACATAGCTTGCCAAAAACAGCCATTGAGGAGAAATTAGCCATGATAACACACTGTAAGTGTAGGATGACTGAAGTTAACATGATGATTGTAATCATTGACTGAAAACAGGAGCTTTTATTATTGTGTGCAAAGAGATGTACAAGTTCATATTTGCAATCATTAAACTTTGCTTGTTTTAACAGCTTGCAGTGTACAGATTTGCAGCTCAGACTACCCCCCCCCCCCCTTTTTTTTGGAGTCCTTGGAGGGGGTGCAGGAGATAGCTCGTTCCAGTGGGGGGACTTTAACGCTCATGTGGGCAACGACAGTGGGACCTGGAGAGGTGTGGTGGGGAGGAATGGCCCCCCGATCTGAATTTGAGCGGTGTTTTGTTACTGGACCTCTGTGCTAGTCATGGATTGTCCATAATGTTCAAGATAAAAGGTGAACATATGTGCTCTTGGCACCAGGATATCTTAGGCCGCAGCTCGATGATCGACTTTGTCATTGTTTCATCTGATCTGCGGCCACATGTCTTGGACACTCAGGTGAAAAGAGGGGCGGAGCTGTCAACTGTCAACCTGGTGATGAGATGGCTTCAACAGTGGGGGAGGAAACCGGTCAGACCTGGCAGGCCTGAACGTCTTGTGAGGGTCTGCTGGGAAAGTCTGGCAGAGTCTCCACTCTGAAGGAGCTTCAATTCTCACCTCTGACAGAATTTCAAACACGTCCTGAAGGAAGCAGGGGACACTGAGTCTGAGTGGGCCATGTTCCGTGCTTCCATTGTCGAGGTGGCTGACCGGAGCTGAAGCCGCAGGTTTGTCAGTGCCTGTTGTGGTGGCACCCTCAAACCCACTGGTGGACACCAATGGTGTCAAGCTGAAAAAAGGGTCCTATCGGGTCTTTTTGGCCTGTAAGACTCCAGAGGCAAAAACCCGTGTATGGGAGGAGTTCGGTGAGACCATGGAGCAAGATTTCCGTAAGGTTTTGAGGAGATTCTGGTCCACCATCCGGCATCTCAGGAGGGGAAAGCAGTGCACTGCTGCTGACCTCTACTCAGGACGTTGTGGATCGGTGGGCGGAATACTTCGAAGACCTCCTCAATCCCACCGACACGTCTTCCAGTGAGGAAGCAGAATCTGGGGACTCTGAGTTGGCCTCTCAAATACCTGGGGCCGAGGTCACTGAGGTGGTTATACCACTGAGTCCACTGATCTCAGGCTCAGGGGGAGAGAGTTCCAGAGTCTGGGGGCCACAGCAGCAAATGATTTGTCACCTTTGGTCTTTAGCCTGATGCTGCACAACCAGTAGGCTTTGGTCACTGGACCTCAGGGACCTGCTGGGGGTGTAGGGACTAAGAAGATAAGATGGTGCTTGTCCGTGTAACGCACTATAGACCAGAACCAGGATCTTGAAATGAACCCTGAAGTTGACTGGCAGCCAGTGAAGCTGGAGGAGAAGCGGGGTGATGTGGGTGTGTTTGGAGGACTTGGTCAGAAGCCGAGCACAGGCATTCTGAACCACCTGTAGACGGTTCAGGGAGGTTCTGCTCAGACACGTGAAAAGAGAGTTACAGTAGTCCAAGCGTGAGGAGATGAAGGTGTGGAGAACTGTCTCAAGTTCTGAGCGAGACAGAATGGGACTCAGCTTAGCAAAGTTCCTGAGATGGAAGAAGGAAGAGTGAACAAGAGGACTGACATGAGAATCCAGGGTGAGAGCTGGGTCAAAGGTCATGCCAAGATTCCTGACAGAAGGTCTGGTGTGGGAAGCAAGCTGACCAAGAGAGTCTCTGACTTTGGGAACCAGCTTGTCTAGGGCACAGATGAGGATCTCAGTCTTGTCTTCATTCAGCTGAAGAAAGCTCCCAGCCATCCAGGTTTTGATAGAGTCTAAGCAGGTGTGTAACAGCTGCAGCTTAGACATCTCATGGGGCTTAAAGGAGATGTACAGTTGGATGTCATCTGCATAAAGATGGTAGGAGATTCCTTTGAAGGAGCTCAGGATGTGCTGAAGAGGAAGCAGATAAAGGAGGAAAAGTAGAGACCCTAGCACAGAACCTTGTGGGACACCATGGGTGAGGGAGGTGGTGGAGGACTGAAACATGAAGACAGTCACTAAGAAGGAACGCTCAGACAGATAGGAGAACCACTCCAGAGCAGTTCCTGATAGGCCTACCCAGTCTGTTAGCCTATCCAGTAGCAGGTGATGGTCAACAGTGTCAAAGGCTGCAGTCAGGTCCAGCAAGACCAGAACAGATGCATCACTGTGAGTCAGCAGGTCATTAGAGACCCTTAGAAGAGCTGTTTCAGTAGAATGAGCTCTACGAAAAATTGACTGGAAACTATCATAGATGTTATGTTCATCAAGAGCAGCTGGCTCCAAGATTTTGGAGAAGAATAGAAGTTTAGAGATGAGTCTGAAGCTGCTAGAATTGTTTTTTAAAGAAATGGATAGATTACAGCGTACTTAAAATAAGCAGGGACCTGACCAGAAACTAGAGAAGCATTAATTAGAGAGAGCACGCTGGGACCGATGGACTGAAAAGCATTTTTAAACAAAGATGAAGGTAAGATGTCGAGGGGACATGCAGAGGTCTTCATAGAGTTTGGTTAACTCAGGCAAAGAAACAAGAGCAAAGCTATCTAGGATGATGGGCCTGGTTGGAGTCGGGAGAGGTAGAGATAAGGCTGAGGGAGAGATGCTAGATCTAACCTTATTGACTTTATGCACAAAGAAAGACAAACAGTTTCCACGGTCTGCAACAGAGTGGATGGAGGCTGGAAGAGAGGCGGGTGGGACTATACTGCTGATGGTGTTACGCAGCACCTTGAGGTTCCCTTTGCTCTGGGACACCAGGTTGGAGAAATAGGCAACCCTCACGTTTCTGACTGCAGAGTTAAAGGATGTCAGAAGATCCAAAGATGCAGCAGATGGACGTGGAGAGTGGTGGCTTGTGTGGGTGTGGAATGTGTCTGTTCAGTGATCCACCTAAACCCAAGGCCTAAGTCTAAATCAACACTAGTTGTTCTCACACCTCACATGCGTTTGTGTGTATGTGTTCTTGCACTTACTACATACTGAGGACCATTTTCACCATTTTCCCTACAATGTGCAGACATTTTTCAAAGTGAGGACATTTTTCTGGTCCTCACTTATTTTTAAAAGCTTACCAGTTGGTTTTGGAGGTATGGTGTGAATTAAGGTTTAGTTAAGGTTAGGAATAGATCAGCATTGGTTATGGTTAGGGTTAGGCATAATACAGTCACAAAAATGAATGGAAGTCAATGGATGGTCCTCACTGTGATAGAAAGACAGACGTGTGCATGTGTGTGCGCGTGCGTGTGTGTCAATGTCATCAGTAGGGGAAAAAAATACATAGATGGGGCTTAACCCCCCCCCCAACACACACATCTTTTTTCTTTCACATTCAACAGCACATAGAGCTTGAACAAACAGCAACATGACAAGCTTTAACAGATCAAGTCAAGCAGCATACATACACATGCACGCACACACACACACACCTGTCAACCTGACTCTCTCACACTTAGCAGTCTGTTTTAATTACACACACATGCACAAACTTCTACATATTTCTAAATAACACTTACTGAGACGCCAGACTGTATAAACATATTTTTCATCCAACATTGTGTGTGCAGAAAAAAGGGGTCACTGACCATTTTGTCGGATAGTAAATAAAAATTCATATTTTAAGCTTCACCCCCCCACCCCCCATCCCCTCCCTCCCAAATGCTTTGTTCCTTCCTCACTTGAAGTGGTGAAGGATGCCATTGAACGCCAGTCCATCAGCCCAGCTCGTGGTAAAGTTCAGTACGTTGACTTCAGGGTTTGGGCGAGTGCACTGTCGGACCCAGCTCAATAAGATCTTTTCACTGTTGGTCTGCTGCAGGTTGGACATGATGTCCTTCATGATGTCTTTCACCTACACGAACAAATGCACACAGAGATGGTTTCATTCTGGTTCTAAGGATTTTAGATTTTTTTTTACACCAATAAAGATCAAATATTCTCATCATGTTGCTAATAAACGAACTAACCTCTGCCTGTAAACAGAAAAACAACAGAACAATCAAAAGATAATAACAATAACATCAGCAAACAATGATAGACAAATAATAGCCCCCACTCTTTCACCCTTTGAACAGAACTTCCTGATTAATGGCGTTCAGCAGCCGTTTGAACTGAAAGCATCAGATGACTAGCATGTTGACTCGCGTGTGTGCACAGACACCCGTACCGAGTTTCCATCACTGGTTTATTTGATCCCTCTGGAGCATCAGTGGAGAGTGAGTTATTAAAGCAAACACTCATGCATGCGTGTGTGTAAAGTTCTCACCTGCCAGTGAAGGATGATACTCCAGATGAGACCCAGGGTCAGCTTGTGGTTCCCATCTACAATATCTGTACCCCCGATGTTTACCAGGTCCACCTAATGGGCAGAAAACGAGACTTTTTTTTTTACCAGAAAAATAGAAAGTTCTGTAACATAAAACGTTCTAATGCCATCGTTACCCAACAACACTAATCATTTACTTCATGAGTGTACAGTTTCTGAACATCTCCGTGTGTTTTGACTGAAAATCAGTCCAATTATGTTCCTCTGGTACGAATATCAAAGTGTGCTTCAGTGTGTGTGTGTGTGCGTGCGTGCGTGCGTGCGTGTGTGTGTGTGTGTGTGTGTGTGTGTATGTGCATCTAAATATTTCTGGTTTAAGAACCAGAGAGCAGAACAGGATGTTCAATTTGGGTTTAAGTATGAAGGGATTTCTCTTTATTAGCCTTCTGACCGGTTTCCTGCCTAGAGCTCTGAATCATTTAGGACCTGTGTTCAGTTTACAGTCAGACTCTGAGGAGACCTCAGTTACTAATTTATGCCAGCAGGTGAAAAGAGTTGAGCAGTTTAGCTGTGAACAAATCGAGGACACGTAGAGAGAGTGTTCAATAAAACAAAAGAAAGGAAGCTCAGATGTCCAACAGTGAGCGTTGTTTTTACTCTGACACTCAGGAGTTTAGTCTTCACAGGGGACAGAAGTGTGTCATTCACCAAAATAAAATTTAATTAAAATTAAATAAAAGTATCCTTGCAAAGCAGAATTTGGTCAGATCAAATCATTTGGAGCAGAAATCAAAAATGAAACCCAAATTTGATTAATTGCACATCCCTACTGTCCATTAAAACAGACATATCTGCATACTTTGCAAGGTAAGGCTGAGCTAAAACAACACGGAATAATGAAAGAAAATGTGTAAAAAATAAAGTAACACAATTCTTGGTAGAAATTCCTAATTTTAATCTATTTTCTAGCAGCTGTCATTAAAAACAACTCATCTTTAATTATTTTCTCATGTTTACCATATCCTCCAGTTGAAAGCTTTATTTTTATTGTATCTAATCTAATTGTTAATTGTTTTTTGTGGCACTCAGTGACTTCTCAGGTAAAGGAGAAATGATGGGACAAAGGTGCACCCAAAGACCCAAAGCATACATGTCAGGCTGATTGGAGACTAATTTGTCCCTAGGTTTGAGTGTGTGACTGGTTATATATCTAAATATGTCCCGGAGAGACAGGAGAAACCTAATAAAGAGTCAGAAAAAAAGTTATTGATTTAAATGAAGGAAGTGCGCTTTGCTGTAAAAGTGTGTTGCACAAGCTTATAGTACAGTAGAATACAAGATGAGATAATCACACATCGTTCCCTCTTTCTGGTTTTGCTCTTCTCACACACACTCAAAAAAACAACAGGTGTAGCTGTTGTAGCATCTACCAAACCGCTGCTGAAAACCGAAACTCACATTATTTTGATGCAGAACTTGTAGAACTTTGTTGACGTTGTTGAGGGAGTGGACTCTGGTGGAGCCTCGCTCTTTGGTCTGAGGAAGAGGAGACGAAAGCAGAAATCAGCTGAGTTTGTACACAAGCAAACAATGACGCAACAGAAAAGTAACACACAAGGAAGTAGATTGTTTCTGGTTCTGTTTAGTTCTGAGTTAGTCAATAAAGTTGTTAAACACTTACCTATACAGAAAAGCATGTGCATTTTTAGGGAAAACTAAAATTCAAAACAGGAAATGAAATGCTGAGGCTAACGCTGGTTTCACACTGGAAGCATCAGCAGGGTGAAACGGCAGCTGTTTACTCGCAAACTTCAAAGCAGTCCTTTTCACACCGGGAGAGTCTTGGCAGCGGAAAGACTTCATCGCTGTCCTCTTCGATGGACTCATGAGATCACAAGATCCCTTGAGATTTCAGGTCACAGTTTGTTTATGCAATCCGCCATTAAAGTAAAAAGAAGGAAATCACGATTGACATCACTGTCTGATGTCATATATGATGTTTTTCTTCTCCACTTCCAGGATTAAAGCCATGAAAAACACACCGCTGCACTTCCGAAACAATGCTGCGAGCAAACATGAAGTTGGGTCACACGTTTGCTTCATATATATGAAATTGCATTGCTGCAGTACTTTTATTTTGAAAATTATAGAGGATTTTACACTGAAACAGTGCGTGATTTCCTGTCTAGCCCTATGATAGTCGCGAAATTGAAGTGTTGCAGAAGTGGCTTGCAGCAAATATAGAACCTGACTATTATTTGCGGCATGGTGCGGCGCTGTGCCGCGCAACGTGCCGCTTCTGAGATGTGCCTAGAAATTATCGCTGGTTTGAAACACTCCATAAACTATAATGGATTCTATTTGAAGCAGTGATGTTCCGCTGCCGTTCCGCGCCGCTGATGCTTTCAGTGTGAAACCAGGGTAAGTCACGCACTTTTTAAATTATATATATAAAATTCATCACATTCAAAGTGTCAGCTGTGTCCACAGGAAGCATTAGCAAGATGAATTGCTGCCAACTGATAATCCTTTAAGTCTTCAAATTCCTGAGCCACTCATTACCTCCCAGCTATAGAGTTAGTAGTCTGGTAACAGGGAGAGTCTGAACATGTGCGCCGTCATAGATGACAAAAAGTCAACTGGTACATAGGATGACTGCAGGTGCAGGAAAGATGCTAGAAAAGTATAAACAAGAATGGTGTGTGAGTGGGTTGCCTTTAAATCTACCAGTTTACTGTTTGTGTTAAAGTGGTAAGTGGGTAAACCATAAACACACTTGTAGAATCTAAATTGGCTCAAGGAAGCTGTGTTAATGCAACTGATAAAAAAACATGTCAATCATCTAAAAGTGTGCTCTGCATATAAATTATAGTACATTAAATGTCCTTTCTGTTGAAACTGTTTTATTTTTCATTTTCACATAATCTTGCATTTCTTACTTTTCTTTTTTCCTATTTTTTTGTGCAAAAATCAACCCCATGGGATCACCCGTCACATCTGTTGGTGGTTTAATGGATGTGAATGGTGACTAGGGCTGCAACAACGAATCGATAAATTCGATGAAAATCGATTACTAAAAGCGTTGGCAACGAATTGCGTCATCGATTCGTTGTGTCGCACAACTCTTCCAAAAGCGCCCCTCCCCCCCCTTCCCGCCCGCCGTTGCGCGCAGACAGATCAGCGCGAGGGAGAGCCGGCAGATCAGCGCGAGGGAGAGCCGGCAGTTGTTTGGAAGAGGAACATGGCAGAAGCAGCGAGAGTCAAAAAAGTAAAAGCTTTTTTAAGTTTGGGAGCATTTTCAGTTAAATCAGGCGAAGACATGCGTTACCTGCAACGTTTAGGTCAGACTTAGCATGGCACAGGATGATGCAGCGTCTTAAACGCAAGCATGTCGGGATCATCAGCGAGAAAGGAGAGAACTCTGTGTCCGGGTAAATTAAAAACTTTTCAAAAGTGATTCATCTAAGTCCCGGATTATTACACAGGCTAGACATGCCCTGAGCTCGTAAAAAAAAGAGTCTAAAGTCGTGAGCGCGACGCTTATTAGATGAGCGGGGGGACTCGCGCTGCTGCGAACCGGTTCCGCCCAAGGCCGGATTAACTGGGCAATTGCCCAGGGCCCACGAACTCTAAAGGGCCCAGAGCACGAGCAAAATACTGTATCTATAATTTCCCGCTTTATGAGGACTATGGTGACCGTACGTTCCGTTTTCCCCAGACGTGTCCACTTTCACTCTCTGTCCGGCGCGTCCGGACTGCGGGTTCTCGTATTGATGAAAATGTCCGGCTTTTCATCCAGGAGCAGGGATCGAATTATGGGGGAGCTGTATATCCTACACATCCAGGGGAACCGGAAAAAAGTTTTCTATATTATATCATTTTTGGACTCTTTTGAGCAGAGAGCGGCACAGCGCTGCGTTGTTGCGCAGCGATCCAGGCAGCTGCTTCCAGCGCACGGTCCATTCTCAAAGTGGCGCAACCAAAAAACTATAATTAGCACACGATCGTTCATGTCTGCACATGTTCTCTATTTTCTGTCTTATTTGTGCCTGAAGCGCGCTACTGCGGAGCTCATCACCTGTGCTGCGGTGATTTCACCTCACGCAGCATCGAAAACGCGCTCTGCGCTTTGTGGTCAGGAGATCCCTTTGATCTGCACAGAAGTAACTGATGAGGTGAAAAAGTAAGAATCCAGGCAGCAGATTTTCTGGAGAGTTTAGAGGAGATGCAGGAAGACGAGAGACAGACAGGACAGGAAAATAGTTCAATAAAAACAACAAAACAAAACAAAGTGTTGAAAAGTAAAATGTAGGTAGATTTATCTCCACTACACGTTTTTACCTATAAAACAATAAGTTACACACATGTAGTATTTATAAATTTGATACTATTCAGGTCACCTTCAACACTCAGTCACACACCCAGGGCCGTTTCAAGACATTTTGGGGGCCAAGGCAAAATGCCCCACCCCCCCATAACTGGGCTCCCCAGAAGCCTCTGTGTAATTCATACCCTCTCCAGTAGTGTTAGTTATACAGTGTTTATAAAAGCCCCTCAGGCATTACTGACATGTTCTAATATTATCAGATGAAAAACTAAATTATCAGACATGCTGTCTCATCTGCTGCTTTTCTAAACTTGCAGAAAGTAACAAAACGATTTGAAAGCCACTATTTGTGGATTCTCTGAAAATTTCCATGGAGTGTGTGACAACTTATTTTTTCAGTCATTTTTGGAAATAGTGATCAATTTTGATTAATTCACAGCCTATGTTTAATTACATTTAAAAATTAGTTGTTTGACATCCCCAGTTATAATAAATGTCTACAGATGAGATCAAACAAAACAGATGAGAATTGCCCTTAAGCTGTTTAATTGGACCAAGCATTTTAGGTCACAGATAGATGTAGCTTAGGGTCTCTGTCTATACACCTTATAAGACAATTTAGGTGATGGCATGTTGTTTTTCTGCTATTGAACTGTTTTCTAATAATGTTGTGTTAAATAAAGTGAAGGAAGGAGAGAAATAACGTTTCCCTAGCAGTTTTTAAAAATGTCCCCATGTAATCCGATTAATCGATTAATCGTGTCGAGACCCCATCCGATTAATCGATTATCCAAATAATCGTTTGTTGCAGCCCTAATGGTGACCAAACAGGAAAAGGGTGATTTTTGTCCAATTTTCTGAAATAATTATTATTTTAGGAGACACGAGGTTTTGGCAAAAGTTAGGTTACTGCATTCATACCAGGACTGCATGATATTAGGAAAACCTGTGATGCGCCATAACAGTGATGAATATTGGGATGACGATATGACTTGCAATACATAAACAAACACTTAACCCATGAGCAAAAAAAATCAACAACAAAGACAATTCAGAATTTCATAACAAATGGGAAAAGCAAATATTCAGATAAAAAAAATGTGAGGAAGGGGAAAAGAAAATGAACAATAAAAGGCAATCAGTGGATCCTGGAAAAAGTAGAATTGGCAGAAAAAGCATAACGAAGCTAACTCAGGTGTTTGCTAGCCACCTAAAGTAGGTGCCATCTGCCTATAAGAACCCACCCGATTGGCCAAAAGGGTGAAGGGCTCAATTTGATTTGTCAAAAACGTTATGCCTCTGTTTGCCTGACAAAATGTATTATGTGTAGCAAACATCTGAGCTGACCATTCTTTGTGTTTTTTCTGTTGTTTGCGATAAGCGTATGCCGATAATGCGATGATGATACATTTGCGATGTATTGTGCAACCCCAATTTATTCTGCAGTGACATACTTGATTATGAGACAAACCCAACATCACATAAAATGGAGAAAAGCTCATTTAAAAGCATGTGATACCGACAAAAAACATAAGGAGAAAAACTACAAATGGCTGCATTAAAAATCCGGTGTCAGCAGCCAAAATGAGAAAGTAACTAGATGTGATGTTCACGAATGAATCTAATCTTTTGAAAGTGATCAATGAGAGAAGATTCTTTGTAGAGAGTCGTTCATCTTGTCTCCCAAGAACTGAAAATCTCCAAGCAAAGCCTACAGGTGTACATGTGCAGTAACTCACCAAGACTGTATTGGTGAGACCCTCCAGCAGGTCCAGCAGCTTCCTACCATCCCTTAGATCAGAAAATAGATCTTTTATAGGTGTCTTTCCTGTCTGAAGAGAGAAAAACACAAAAAATGAACAGAGTCAACAGGTGCTAAATTGTAACGAAAGCTAAATAAATAGCAGCCTCAGAATTTAAACCAAAATCCAAATAATAATAAAACACAGCAAAAAATTTGCAGATCATTGTGCTAATAAGATGTTTTGCTTCATTATCTGATGGTATAATTACTGCTGTGCTAAAATCTAAAAGCAGGACCACACACACACAGGAACTTGGTGGTTGCATGCTGTGTTTCACATACCTTGGAGAACTGCGCGTTGATCCATTTGGTGAATGTTTTCTTCTGTACTGCGTCATGTTCATCTGTGGGGGGAACGGACAGAGTCAGGAGGTCTGATGAGGGATGCTAAGAGCACCGTTAACAGGTTTGTATCAGGAACAAACTCTGGTTTGGGTCAATCCGGCTCTCTCACTCAGAGGTAATTGTAACTTCAGGCAATGACGGCTTAACAGCAGCCAAATCAATGCGGCTGGAACATCAGAAAATTACATGAAAGACAAGAAGAGCATTTTCAATAATGTGCTCAAATGTTAAAAGGTGCACAGAGTGCAAAGTCATACACCAAACCAACTTGCACACACACACGCATGCATGCATGCGCACACACACACCTGCTCATTATATTGTTCTAGCTGAATCAAACTGTACACATATTTTACATTCTCTCCCCACTTGACTCCCTCCCACACAGCTCCTCCTTTATACTCTGACGTGGCTCTCCAATAAGGCCTCATTATGTTTCAGGCACAAGGTCAGCTGCTTTGATGTTCCTGGACGGTGGCCGGCTCGTGTAACGGATCAGAGTGGCTCGGACCACAGCTTTGGGATTCTCGGTAAACGACTTTCTGATAACCCACAAAAGGAAAATGAGGAAAACCCAAACAGCCTGCTCTTTTCCTGATAAGCTCCACATATAAATGTGTATAACCTTAACATTACTTAGGTGACAGATTATGTGAGAGAAGTTTTCTGATATTATCAAGGAAGAAAAAACTGCTTAAAGTGCTGCCATGTTTGCTTTGGCGCCTGCTTATATAATCTGTGAAAGAACTTGTTCCCTGCATCTGTATAAGAATAATACACCCCCAGGGTGTCACGTTTTGTAGGGATGTTAGAACCCAAAGTGCAGAAACCCAGGACGACACGAGGCTAGGGCTGGGCGATATGGCAAAAATAGAATATCACGATTTTTCCAATATTTTATCACGATTTCGATTTTATCACGATTTTTTATCCATGAATAGCATAACTTCAATTGCATATTAAAGAAGAGAAACATTGAATAAATAAACATTTATTCATATTAGGGATAATCAGCACAGTGCTAACACACTTATATTTTAAACTCACACCAGAGATGATAAAAGCCCTGAGAGAAACAATTACAAAAATCAGTTTTTCTCGTTTTTCAAGTAACTTAACATAAATTAAAATCGTAAACATATTTAAAGTGCAAACATGTCAATTGCAAACGTATTGTGCAAACATTAACTTGTTCAAAATACTATGTAGCTCCCAGTTGCTCATGTAGTGGATAGTTAAGCTCAAATACGGCCCTGATGTGCGGCTGGACCAGAGATCGCTTGTGGTAGCAAAAAACTGCGCATTCTGAATATTTTCTGCAACAAGTCTCTAAATAAAGTAAAATTTTCTAGTGCAGATTGGAGACAACCCATAGAAGCACTGATTTGATCTCATTTCAGAGAAAAATAGAACAGGTTAGATGCACCTAATAAATAAAATTACTAACAAACTCAGGAATCTTTCTTTGCTTCACTGTTCTGGTGCTGAAAACATCACTAATGCGGGTCAAAGGAGATACACAGATGAATGCACCTCTTATTATTTGGAAACTACGTTTACTGCAGCTGGCAGAGGCAGAGATTGTTTCTATTGATACACGGAATTTATAGAATCATTTTAAATTGTAATAGGGGAAGACTGCAGGAGGGAGCGGTAAAATACAGGGGTCCCCAATAAAAACAATAAACTACGAGTCTGATGAAACCCGCTGGTTTTCCATCAGGCAGTCACGGGGCAGCTCCAACGACCCAGTGACCGAGCTCAGTCCGGTACCGACACCGGCTCGGCAGAGGGTGGACGAGCCGAGGCGGCGTCGTGCTCTGCTTAAGAAGCGGTGTTATTTTCCTGCTTCAGAAGAAGCGTCCAACGTGTTTTTACGCTTTCTCCGACACATGTCACGTCACTAAGTTGTTAGCGCCGCGCGCTAAGGAAACCCTGTGTTCCTCTTCGGAACGAAAACCTCGTTGTCGCTCTCAGCCGCGGCGAAGCCATGTTTGTTCACACACAAGTGAAAACAAGCGGGGCACTAATATATTACTATGACTCACTCTGATTGGTTAAGGGTCAAACAAAGGCGTGTCATTCGCCTGAGGTAAGTTCCCTTTTCATTCAGAGGCAGAAATTCAACAGCAGAGCTGTGAATCGTGATAAAACGGTCTCTCAAAAATGACAGACCGTCAGATGTGTAGATCGTAAAATGGTCTAAAATCGTCATATCGCCCAGCCCTACACGAGGCAGGAGATAATGTAAAGTAAAATCCTTTAATTTTGATGGATAAAACGAAGAATAAATCCAGGGGCAGGGAGCCAAAGTCCAAAAATGTCCAAAATCCAAAATAAACTAGAGATCCAACTGAGACACGAGAAACACTAGAGACTAGGAACGAGAGACTGACAGAATTACCACAAACAGCAACAATGGACCGACAAGACACAGAGACAAGACAGGGCTTAAATACACTGGGGCATAATGGGAGGCAGATGAGCTGCAGGTGTGTGGAGTGTGGGGGGAGGACCAGGTGAAAGCAATGACTAATCAGGGAAGAAACTAACATGACCTAAGAGTGAACCTAAAAACAGAAAAGCAACCATATAACTAAAATTCTAAAGGGAAGGAGAACTACAAAAACCGGTGGGACAAAACATATTAAAGAGACTGATAAAAATGAAAAGCTGAAACTATAAACACTGCAGAGGGATGACTGGAGAAGACTAAAGGAACACAGGAGACACAGAAATGAGATGCAGACAAAGGACATATGAGGGCGCTATGAAACACAAAAGGAGAACCTGGAGTGGGAACTGGAGGGGCTGGGGAACAAAGGGACACAGAACATGACACAGGGAGAGAGTTAAAGATACCATAACTATCTCTGCTTCCAAGCTCTGTGACCGAGGGCCTTTACATTTGAAGGTTATGTAGAATTTATTTTCATTTGAACTCATTTAAATTTTTTTCTTAATTTTGTTATAAAGTTATTTCTCCAAAAAGAATCTAATTTCACCATTTCTTTCACATTTACCTTAACTTTGAGGTAAAGGGTAAACTTTTGATAATGCAGAACGTGTTTTGGAACCTTCAGTTCTGAGTTTCCCAATTAAATTAAACTTAAAATTAGCAATTATCATCTAGCTTTAATATCGTGATTTATGATATTGTCTCCCCTGTATTGTGATATTGATCATATCGCCAGATTGTTGCTAATACACACCCCTACTGACAAAACTCTGTTTGACTTTATCAGAATAAACACTCAGACAAATCAGCTTAGTAAAGTAAAAACATCAAATCTGATTTTCACTTTCCTCCCAATTCCTAAGCAGCAATAAAAAAAATCCCAAAGTGTTCTCAATCTAAAGTTGGTATCGGCATGTTAGAGCTGTATCGATGCCAAATTCATGTCAGCTCACAAAATATTCTAAAAAAATACCGTATTATTTATCCAAGTCTGTTGCAGGCTTGTACATGTTTCACATCATTTCAGCAGCAGCGAGGGTAACTCTAGGATGCAGTCAAAGAGTTTGTGCCGATGCCACCAAAGGGTTAAAGGTTATGATCATCAGGGCCAGCAGTCGCTTGCTTCTTTGTTACGCGTGTGTGTAGAGTGTGTGTTTGCAGCCGTTGGCTGGGTGAGAGGATATAACAACAAGAATGTAACGCACATGGAGGCCAGGAGCAGGGGTGAGAAAGGTGAAGAGGTGAGGATGAGATAAATGGTGGTAGGATGAAGGCCCAGACACTGAAACTTCTAGTGGCAGCGTTTACACGTCCTGTGGACTGTGGAGACTTTCTTTAGAGACGACAGAAAATGGGACAACAAGCAACTGGACAGGTGAGAAGATAAGGCTGAACAACAGCACATCAGTTTGAACTGGTGATATGACCAAGAAGTTGACTGGAGAAGAACAAAACAAGCAAAAAGAAATGTTTGTTTTTGACCCATTCCAGCATGATTGACGGTGGTTCTGTGTCATACGGTAAACACTTAAACATGTTCTGACAAGAAGCACCAAGAAAAATGGGAAAAGCCAGAAAAACAGAAAGATTTCAAAATAAACAATGGAGAACATAGAACTACAAGATGAAGATTTTAAGTAAAGAGACAAATAATGACAAGATGACAGTCACAGAGAAGCGTGCTCCAGGTAGGGGCCTCACACATCAGTTCTCTGAGGTCCCCTAAGAGTCAGATCCAGAGGACTCGGGTCTCCTCTGAACTTTTCTATTTCTGCAGGACAATAAACCTGATTCATGCTCTGCTCCCCCTCCATCTGACTGCTCCTCCTGCTCAGGAGAGCACAGGAATGTCTATCTGCAGCCCAGATCAGAGATGAGTGTGATTGTACGCGCCTGGAGGAAGAAAAAATAAAGCTACCTCCCCCTTTTACAGAGAGGAGTCGGTGGATTCATGATACATTACCACGACAATACTTGTGTTCAATTATGTGTCTGCTAATTAGAGAAAATGTCACAATTTGAACGAATATTCAAATGACAAGAGACAAGTCACATACCAGATCAGTTAAACCTCCGCAACTCTGTTTATAACTTCTAAAGACATCACTAATGCTATAAAACAACTAACAACAATAAAGGAAGCATATTATTATAAAAGTAAAAATAACCTGTGTAAATTATGCCTGAACACTTAAAAAATGCCCAATAAGATTAGATTTATAATCATCGTTTATAGTGATTTTTCATTTGACAGAAAATGAACCGATGCCCATGGGATTATCAGTAAATTTCATTTTAAAGTGACCATCAGGCGTTCCAACAAAATTTCTGTTATGATTGTAATAACTGAGAAAAATAATCATTTGGGGCCGTACAATATAAACTAGCATTGATTTGCTTATTTCAAAACCATTGAGTGTTTAAAGTGTTTTAATTGTTTAAAAAAGTAAAAAAACATTTTGTCAGACTAAGGCCTAGTCCACACGTAGCCGGGTTTTTTAAAAACGAATATCCACCCCTCCAAAAACTTGCATCCACACCACCTCGTTTTAAAAAAAACTCTGTCCACACGTACCCGGATAAATACGTTGTTAAGGACATGCCAGACCTGTAGGCGGCAGTACTTCCCCCGTTCTTAACCTCGTCCTTTGTCTGTGGTCTTCCTCAAGGAGCAGTAATTCCGCTTGCAAAAACAAACAAGAAGAAAGCGCTTGGACAATTGATAAAGCGAGCGCAGCTCTGAGGGCATCCATGATGCCGGCTAGAGTAAACACAGGTCGCACACGTGATGTCAGCATTTTTTTATCGCGGAAAGTGACGTTGCGGACCTTAAAACTCCGGTTTTGTCTGTCCACACGCAGACACCCAAAACGGAGAAAACGCAGATCTTCACTTTGGCCGGAGTTTTTAAAAAGATCCGTTTTCGTGTGAAAAAACTCAGTTTTCATGTGGATGACAGGCCAAAACGTAGACAAATATCTACGTTTTGGCGGATCCCCGGCTACGTGTGGACAGGGCCTGACTTTTAATAAATAAAGCTGAACAGCAATTTTCCAATTGTCAGCACTTTTAAAGTGACAGTGTGTATTTTTTCCTGGCCGGGGGGGGGGGGGGGGGGGGGGGGGGGGGCGCAGTAGATACCTAAATCATTGCAGTATTTTTGTGTTGGAGTAAGACCTTACCAACGGATTCCCATTAGGGTCAAAAAGCCCTAGGGAGTGCAAACTTTCGCAAAATAAGAAGCACATCAGACTCCCTTTCATCATTGGCAACATTTACCATTTATAAGGTAAATGTGTGAAACAACAATAATTAAAAATGACAAAAGTTTTGTAATCGTTTGTTACAAATCAGTAAATGTATTTTGTCCTCAAGGGCTCCCGTAGACGAAAACATGGCATCTAATATGGCGTCGCCCAGAGACTTAGACCTGCTCCCATGTATTTTAGACCTGATTTTAATGGTTATATATTACAAAGTTGCCCATATTTTCTACTGGTCATTATTTCACTAATTTCCAACAACATTGTGATGGATATTTCCAGAAATTAATGGTACAAACTACACATTGTCTCTTTAAATCAAACATCCCTACTTCACTAAAAAACTAAACAAAACCAAACAAAATGTCGCTTTTTTGCTTTTTTTTAAGATGTTTTATTTTGAAATAAGCTGCTGATGCAAATCTACATCCTCATGCACAATGAATTTAAACAAAAATAAAATGTTAATTAAAATGTTATAATCACATCACATGGGGCAACAGAGGCACATGAGCGAAGTGCTTGCCTTGTAATCAGAAGGTTGCAGGTTAGAGCCCCACTCAGTCTGTCACTGTCATGTCCTTGGTGGTCGAGGGACCGGTGGCACTTGTGCTCAGCTCGCCTCTGTCTGTGCGCCCCAGGGCAGCTGTGGCTACAATGTAGCTCATCACCACCAGGGTGTGAATGTGTGTGTGAATGAGTGAATGATTTATTGTGTAAAGCACCTTGGGGGGTTCCAGTACTCAAGAAGGCGCTATAGCAAATACTTACCATTTACATCAAATTTTGCATTTACTTAATTATAATTCCTGTTTATTCTTGCATTGTAACGATTACTGGGAAACGCTGATGTTATTCATCCAGAACAATTGGCTTTAAATGTTTTTTCTGTGTTTGCAGCCTTTCATCCGTTGTTTGGTACCATTACTGAGTCGGATGTTCTGCTGTCATTTAAAGAATGTAACAGCCCAGTTCATATCTACTGACAAAACTTTAGTAATGCTAGCAAACCTTTTGGGTCACTTTGTCAAGTGGCAGCCAGCCAACTCAAAACCTAACCCAGAGAGCAGAAAAAAGCAGACTACACAGAAACTGTCAGACAAGGGTTTCCATGTGTTTGCAGAACAAATATTCAACCCAAATATGTTTCAGATAACCAGCACAACAATTTTAGCAGATCTGCCTGCAAGTGGTACTTCCGTTTGAGAGCAGCCAAACAGAAAGTGAAGACTACATCTTGATCTTTTTAACTAAAATAAAGTTCAAATAAATAATCAACAAGGCTGCCGCTGACATCTTCCAACCGACTGTTGGTTTGTCCAACTTAACCAAGAGTTGAAGATAAAAACCAAAGTGCAAACAGCAAACCTCAAAACATGGAAGGAATGAGGGGGAGAAGGTAATGGGGACACAGCCAGCTGAGAAAACAGATCTTTAAAAAATAACAAATAAAACACTACAGCCTGAACAGGTGAAGAGCTAGTGACCACACAGCAGGGTGAACGAGGGACACCAGCAGGGAGGCACTGAGGTGGAAATCAAACAAACCCTGAGAGTTTCCACGACAACGTCACACAGCAAACATACAAGCTTGGAGGGTGGACAAAGGTAGGTATTTACTAAGTTTTCTGCACCGGTGATCAGCTCTAACTTTAACTAATGAATAATGAGCAGCTAACTTTCTAAAAATTCATGTGTGGTCACTTACTGAGGCTGGTGATGGCAACCAGACCAACTTATTCAGTGATCTGCCCATCTGAAACTCAACCTGATTCTTTTGGTGCATGAATGCACCATTTCCAAGAAATTATAAAAAAAAAAGACATTTTCACTATTGATTTAAACATTTTTACCATTCTTTGTGAAGAAATTGTCCAAATTTTGTATTTTTAGTTTGTATTGATCCATAAAAACAGAAATGCATCCCTACTAAATGTGCTGATGGTACAAGAGCACAAACCAGATCATTTATAATGAAAAAAATACCGTTGGGTAGAAGTTTAAATTTTAACTGCATTAAACAGATTATCTGACTTTCCTGATAAAACAATAAAAATAAGTTATGTGTGTGTATAATAAAGGTGTGGTTTACTCATTTATGCAAAACATTTGCATTGTTCTCTAGTGTAAACCAATGCCTTATGAGTCATTTAAAAGCATTAAGCAATGATGCTCCTGTCATGAGATGCAGAAATTTGTGGAGTTTGCTGGTGTTGAGGTGGGGTGAAAACAGTAGGATTACTCATTATTAATATTAATGATTTGCACATACTTTGCTTCTGATTGTCTAACAGAACACGTTCATCCATGTAGCAAAGTCACCATCACCCAGACGCTCTCTGCTTTCTCTTCTCTGTGCAAAAATCTTTTTTTATAAAGCCTCCCTGTGGGTGGGTGTGAGCCATGATGGGAGGGGCCATGAACCCAAATTCACAGTGTGACATAGATATGTGAGGATTTTCAAATCCTAGCATTTCACTGCCTATTTTCTATCAGAAGCTAACGCAGGAGATAGGTGTAGGAGACAGTTTTCATGTTCAGCCTGCATGGAAAACTCAAAAGTGATGGATTATAATTTTAACAAATAATAATGAAAACATGTTTTCTTCAGTCAACCATACCTTTCATACCTTTAAGTGACTTTTTACAAAAAAGCTAAGATGTCGTGATGCATCTGGAGGGAGGTTCTGAAGTTTGCTTTAGTCTTAGATAAAAAGAACCCCCGAGCTCATTTTAAGATGTTATTAAAACATTGATAACTAGAATACACAGATTTTTGGGTCAACCATCACCTGGTACTAAACCTAAAGAACAAGCTGCTCTCACACACCCACAGACAACCATTCAGTTTGTGTTTTCTTGGCAGAGATGTGCATAATTTTAACTGTAGGTTGAGAGGAATCCACAGAATTCCTATAATTTCTCCGTGCATGCCTTCCTCCTTCCTGCAGTGGTTACTTGTCTGAGCTTGTCCCAGCCGGCACAGCCTTGTTGACACTTCCCTCGCCGTGATCCGGGGAATTTGTAGGGAAAATACTCGGGACGTCCAGAGAGATTAACGCGTATCCCTGCTTGCAATCATCAAAACACCCCTGTGGTCTGCGAAGGTGCGTGAATTGTTGTAATTAGTAGTAAAGGGAAAACAAGTGAGGTGAAGCGTGCAGGAATTTCGTGAAGTCAAAGCAGGCTGAAAAAGTTGTGCGTGCCAGGTCGAACAGCGATAAACTAAAACCACACAGTTTGAAAAAGACAGAAAGGGATGAAGCTGTTTAGTTTACACAGCTTAAAAATAATTCTTGGTCCTTTTTTATAGTTGTATATTTGTCTCAATTTCCTTAAATGCTTCCTGAATGACCATTAAATATATCAGGCACAAGCTATTGGTTGGTGTCTGTACAAAGAAGCAATCCAACAGTCTGTTCACAAGTTACTTTAAAAGTTTACAATCTTCTGATTGAACTTTAGAGCATTTTACCACCAAAACCTGCAGTTTGGGTCATATTTATCAGCCGTGAAACCTGCTAAAACATCCTACCTCTGAGTTTAAGTCCAGGTTCTGCCATCTTTAAGCATTAGAGGAAGCAATAAACCCCAAAAAAGGACAAAGAGGAGAGGACACAGTCCGAGGGTAACAGTGCAAAGCGGGCTGTGATATCCCTCTCTAATCTGCTTTGGTCACTCTATGTCCAGCAAGAGAGGAAAAGATCAGAAGAATGCAGCAGCAGAGGGAGAAGAAGGGAGGGAAAGATGGACACTGTCAGGGAAAAGGGACGAACGGGGCAGGCCAGCAGTGATGAGACAAGAGGACGTGCACAGAGCAACAGTTTGGCCCCGTCTCAACATTTTATGCCATCACCAGAAAAAGGAAAACAAAAGAGAAGAAAGATAAACAATCACAAGCCGTGACGATGGTGGAGATTAACCCTCTGAAATCTCCTCACTGTCTACAGAAAAACTAGAGCATGAATGAGATATAAAATCATAAAGCATTTATGTTGTCAGCTTATTATCACCATAAGAAACCTCATTTAAATTAGGAGGAAATACTATCTTTATTTTTATTGATGCTATTAAGCTCTTGAAGAGCTTGTTTGTTATTATATTACTAAGAAAACGCCATACTGGCCTTTTGGGGTGTCTGTTTAAAGAGATAATGTGTATATTTTTAGGGCCGGGAAAATTAGCTCGTGTTAAAAGTAAAGGACGTAATTAATTTGACCATCTCTCCAACCCTGAACCACCATTCTCCAAAATATTTCCATATTTGCCCCTGGACAATATTGCTAAACCATCATTTACGGGCCCAAAAAAAGTTCAAGTTTCTACCATATTATGGACTCCCAGCATCAAGGATTCTTTTGAGCGGAGAAGATGAACAGAGACAGAGCGCTCATGCGCTCCAGCAGCATCTGCGTCTTGCGCTCGGCCACAGTAACATTCTCAAAGCAAACATTCTCACCAAAATATATTTAACACACGATCGTTCATAACGGCCTTGGTACTTTCTGTCTTTTATTCGGGCCTGACGCGCATCGCTGCTGCGCTCATCACCCGTGCTCCACGGCCGTGGCCAGGCAGCGTTTTTTTCAGGAGAACAAGATCCTGCAACTCCCTGAGGCAGATGCAGGATCAGAGACAGACAGGACAGGATAATAAGAAAACAAAACAAAGAGCACGGAAAAGAAAATGTAGGCAGATTTATCCCACTACAGGTTTTGACGTTATAAAATAAATATTATTTATAAGCTCATAATATTCATATATTCCATAAAATTCAGATCACCTTCAAAACTCCGTCCCACCCAAGGGGGGCCATGCCAGTGAGGTGTCCCTTATTTATTTTGGGGGAGTTGGCAATCCTAGTTCAACTGATGCTGTGGAAAATGATATTAACATTGAATAACATAAGCTAACTGTACTAGATTTATTTCCTGTTCATTGTTTACACAACAGACTTTTTCAAACCATGTTTTTGAACAGAAACTGGATTTGATTTAAGGTTTTCTCTGTGATTTTACACACTTCAACAACTTATGCACTTTCTAAATAAAATGAACCTCTCTTGTATATTTTTTGCATGTTTATTGCTTGTTTTTTCTGGAAAAAAAATTATAATTCATTGCGATTCATTTCTTTCAGATTTGTGATTAATTAGTTAATTTATTTTTAATCGAATCCCGGCCTTAGTATTTTTACCTTTAGTCTCTGGAAATATCCAACAAAATGTTGTCTAGTTGAAAAATATTGGCAGCTTTGTACTATATAAACATAAAAACCGGGTCTAAAGTACATAGTGCTAGCATCTTTGGGGATGGCCTTATTAGACTCCATGTTTCCTTCTGGCTGGCTCGGGGTCCTGCGGCTGTCAAAGACTAGATCGGTGTTTCCCTACCCAGGTCCTCAGGGCACAATGTCCTGCATGTTTTCAATGTTGCCATTTTGAACACCAGTGTTTGCCTGCTGCCACACACCTGACTTAAATAATGAGTGATGAACAGACATCTGCAGCACTTGATGTCCTCCTGAAGAGGCAATGTAAATCAGGTGTGCTGAAGCATAGGCATGGAAATCATGCAGGTCAGTGTGCCCTGAGGAACAGGGTTGGGAAACACTACACTAGATGACTGGCTGGACATTTGATTTACAGAAGTTACATTACCACATTCAAAAACATTTAGACAGTAAGAAACATGAATTTAATATTAAAAACTGCTGAACTTTTTCCAAAATCTGTGTGAAAGAACAGAATCGATAAAGAGATGCAATACATTTTGGCTGAGTGGTATTGCCGTGGTATGATGATGTCATCGGCAGGCGCAGAACCCCGAGCAGATCCAGAAACTACAGCGCCAGAAACCTAGCATCGGCATTACATTCTCTTTCACTGAATAATACACTGAAGGACCGTCAAGAGATGGAGATATGGTGTAAAACTACCGTGAAATCTATGTATGTACTGCACCCTGGCACCAGGAAACTACACACTGCCACTTTAACCGACTGAGCGCCAATTTTCTTGGTGACAAAAGTGAAACCTGATTCTGATTGATCATTAATACTGGTTTGACTGGCAGGAAAAAGAAGCACAAACAACAAAGATGCTTAGCATTTATCAAAAGACACACACACACACAGGGACCATAATAACTGCAGGTTTGAAAACGGAGAATGGATCAGACGCCGCTTTTTACTCAACAGAAAACAACCTTACCCAGTTCCAGGCAATATTCATGCTTCCCTTTTTTTCTGAAGAAGTTGTGCTTTCTCCAGGACATCCATCTGCTCAAGTTCATGGTTGAAAATAAGTATTTTTAAATAAAGAAGAGAGAGAGAACACACTACCGCTAAACCGGAACAGGAAGACAAGGTGGTGGGAGAGTGACAGATGCATGAGAAAAAAAAAACACTAAGAGGAAGCAGAGGTATAAGTGGGTTTCTGCTGGGTGATGATGTAACAGCACGCACAAAAGTGATGAACAGAAACAGGATAAGCTTCAATTTGACTTAATTAATACACGTATTTGATTATATCTATATTGTAAAGTCCCTTCCTGAAATGGCAACCCAAAGAGGTGCTAGCGTACTACAATGGTTAAAACGCTTCTTTACGAGCGTTTGCATAAAAGTGAAACCTATAACAATTACATAACCATTGCAAACAGAGCTGAGTTTCTGAATTTAAGTGCATGGCTATGAGCTGCAGCAGTGCAATAGTCCAGTTGTTTATTGATGTATCGAGTCGATGAGGAGCAGCAGAACAAACCGTTTCTGTTCCCACACAGATGGAGAAACAAAGAGGGACAGTAGAGCGAATGGCTGAATGTTTTTGTGTCTTTTCTGTCCCCTATCGGAGAGGAAGAGAGGAATACTGTGATGTCCAGCAGCTGACTAAATCAAAGACACTTTCTACCACTGAGATTTTCAACATCTGGTCTGGTTTCTCTGGGTGAGGCTTGAGTTGGGAGGGGATCAAAGACGGAGCAGGAACTTCCCACGGTGGCGAGTGTGTCAGAAGGCATGCTGCCCTGTCAGTCGCACATCATCTTTTACTAATAAACCAGTGAACATACAAACAAGCATCTCTGTCACACACACACACCCTCAAGCCTAACTCCTACTGCTGACTAACTTTCTAAATAAAAACCACCTGATTGCATCCCGTGTGTGTGTGTGTGTGTGTGTGTGTCAGTGTGTTTAAAACACAAGCACAAAGAAGACTGACTACATTTTGCTACTTGTTCGGCACCATGCCTAAAAGTGATGAGGACAAATCTCCTCCACCCATATTCTAGACAGAAAATGTGTTTCTGTGGTGAGGTTAGGCTCCTCTGAGGACAACTCTGATGTTCAGTCAGCTTCCTTTAAATTTATTATTTTCTTATCATTTTTACTGTACAATGTAAACTCAGATTCAGCAGCACAAAGATAAGAACAAGTAACAAACTGTTCCCAAACAAATCCTGTAAAACGTTTTTGTTCTAGTAAATCTGAAGCTCCAGACGGCAGACTGGCAGCAGAGCTATGGAGCCACCATGAGAAGGAACAAAAAGGGTAAAAGGCAAATTAGACAAAGGCTGATTCACAGTTTTTGCAGCCTGAAACGTTTAGAAACGATCTACTGTTTTTCTACTTTTCCCAGACTCTTCTGAAGAGTCTAAATGTCATCTGTGCTGCTGGGTGGAGTAACAGAGCTGTGCTTGCACATCAACCAAAGACAGTCACACAGAGCAAAACCACACTCAGGGGAGATGTTTTGGACTGAGCCGTCATTCCCAAATTTCCAGGCAGGATTTTGCAGAGAGTTCCTCCCTCCTTCCCAGGCAGTCGGATTCAGCAGCAACCCAGGAAACGAGCACACACACCAAGGCTTGTGGGCCTCCATATATATCTTTATATATAGTAACATCCAGCTGGCTGGGTGGGTGTTTTTTCTTTCTCTGAGTGGAAAACTCTCACTGACCCATCAAAAGAAAATGAGGGTAATCCAAACGGAGCTAAAGTCAGAAATATGCATTGAGATGTGACACTTTTTTCATTTACAACTATGGCTCCCAATTGCCTCAAACGCTTCAATTATTTATTAATAGGTAATCCAACTCCCTTTAACACACACACACACACACACACACACACACACACACACACACACACACACACACACACACAGCAGCTGACATATTTCCAAACACTTCATCCGCCCTGAAAGAAGCCCAAGCTAGCATTAACAGGATCTGTGGCATGTAGCTGAGCTCGTAGGGCAACAAGCCACACCCTCTTTTTGGTTAAAGCATTCGTTTTCTCTAAAAAAGACGGGGATGATGTCACACCTACCCAAAAATGTGGTAACAACTGGTTCAGCAGGTTTTTCCTGACAGTTCAACTAATTTAATAATCTTTTTTTAATTTAGTCACTTAACAAACCTAAAGAGGAAACTGGATGTTTGTTTGAGGTGAGAATGATTTCCTATAGAGGTTTAAAGCTCCCAACAACACAAATAAAGATTAAAATGTACAAACACTTCTATGAAAATGAAAAGATGCTCACAAAAGATGAAACTGCTTTAAAAAATTCTACCCGTGGATGTATCGTCAATTATTTTTCTCTGTTAAATGTCCAATAATTAAATCAAAACGGACAGCGCTAATATCTCCTTTTAGGAGATTGGAGGTGATTTAGGTGACACCAATAAATGTTCATGTTGGCAGTATTTAGACTACAGTGGGTGTTAGCTAGTTCTCCAAACGAGCTAGATTTAGAGGTCTTACGCTTCAGAGTTGCCAAATTTACCTTTAAAATTGTGTCAAAACATTTCAACATTTATGCTTTCCTCGTTTCACTTTTGAGTTTCCTGTTTACGTTTCTCTGTCTGTTATATTTGCATCTGCATGACAGACCTTTATGCAAATGATTGCTTTCTGTCTACCCTAAAAATAAAAGGAAGAATGGCATCAGTTCCCCCTTTTAACACAGGTTTAATTGTACTTTCAGCACCTGAAAAGCTTTTATTTGTATTGTATCACACCCATCTAACACTGGGTAAAATCCTCTTTTATGCATTTCATTAACCTATTAATGTACTTACTGATATCCTTCATAATCATTCTTAGTTCTGGTCTTTTCAGTCATCTATATCTATTTTTCTCAGATTTAATCAATAAAACCTCCCTGTTTCTAAACTATGGACGAGACTAGCTCAGATAACCAGCGCTGTCATTCACCAGCTGAACTCTCTGATGAAAAATAAAGAGGTTGGGTTAGTGTTCAGTAATGTGTAAAGCTGTTAAACAAGCAGTCCTGAGGCTGAAGATGATTTCTGACCTTTCACATGTCTGCACTTTGGTAAGGGGAGGGGGGAGGGGCACAGAACAAACAGGTAGAACTTTGTGAAAGGTAATCCGAGCAGAACCACGGTCTAACAGAGTGTGTGAGCAGGCTTAATGTTGTAAATCTCAATGTTTGCGGTTTACCAACAGATTTAAAGTTAAAGTCCAACAGTCATCATCACACACTGGAGTCTATCTCCGCGTTTGACCTATCCCCATGGAGGGGAGCGGTGGCTGGTGGTTTAACCCCCAATCCAACCCCTAAAGCTGAGTGTCAAGCAAGGAGGCGTTGGGTCCCATTTTTAAAGTCTTCAGTATGAACCTCGATCTCCCAGTCC